TACAGCAGACTCCGAGACCAGACAATCGATACCCAAACCTCAGATACAATAATAATATATGAATGAAACAGTCTTGGGATACAATCATAGATTTATTGAAAACAAAAGTAAAGTGCAAAACCAACAGTTTACAAAGTCAAAAGTACGTATGTGTGAGACCAGGTCCAGACCAGGTCCAGATGAGGAGAATACTCCGGTCACTCATTACTCGTTGGTAATCTCCAAACTTATGGGAAGGGATTCTCATACAAATATACACACAACAACTTAAATACAAGCACAAAACAGAATGAAAAACCAAGAATACTGCAGATAATACGAGATAAAGCACAGTAGCACAGGGAGGACGTTAGCTTAGCTGCTATCGATAGCTAAATGAAGCTAATTGTAGCTAGCTCACTGTGTACAACAGACAATCAAACATGTACACAGTAAATACATTTCAGTGAGAGCTTTAACGGGATTCGTAGCCAACCAGTTATTTCCAGGTATACCACAAACTATTCACAAATCCAGAGCTGGGTGATCTCCCTGAAAACTGTGTTGAGCCTCTAGCTGCCTTTGAATTCTTTCTTTTGCCTGAAGAGAGGAACGTGTGGACCTCGTCCACCGACCAGGACCAGGACTTTTGGGGCTTTCTGTGCAATTCCATTTCTCTGGAGTGAGGAGGACGTAATGTAGCCGAAGCAGAGCCGAGCAGAGCAGCCGGATTTAAAGATGGTGGTTGAGTTGTTTTTCCCAAAGGGTCAGACGTCGCTTCCAGTGACGACACTCGTTGACCAATCAGTGTAAGGCAGTGGGCCGACGTGACGTCATGGCACGGGTACTATGGGGATGGAACCACGGCTGAGGCAGTACGGAAAAGTACTAAAATCTCCCATTCCATCCACTAGTGGAAACGCAAAATAACCGTGCTGAAGCGTACTGTACTGTACCGTACTGGAACTGTGGAAAAGTGGCATAAATGACTCCAGAGGTGATGGGGGAGTCCATCAGGGAGGGTGGGGGCGGGGGGGGACAGTGCTTATCCTGAAGTCCACAATCATGTCTACTGTCTTCTGGGTGTTCAGATCCAGGTTGTTACCACTGCACCAGGACACCAGCCGGTCCACCTCCCTCCTGTAGGCGGACTCATCGTTGTTGGAGATGAGACCAATGAGGGTGGTGTCGTCTGCAAACTTGATGAGCTTCACGGAGTTGTGGCTGGAGGTGCAGTGGTTGGTGTACAGGGAGAAGAGTAGGGGAGAAAAAACACAACAAAAAGAATTACCGTGTATAGCCTCCAGCCCCAGTCCCTCAGCACATTTTACAATCTATGCATGACTTTGACAGCGCTTCTGCAGAACTTTGAACCTACGACTCGGCTTCCTTGGAAATAGATAAATAAGAATAACCTGGGACAAAATAACATTATTTAGGAAGTCCTGTGGAGCAAAAATGTGCAGCATGACCTGATACAAGGACTGGGCAATGTGGAGAAAAAAATCTCCCTTTGTTTTTCTCAATATACTATACATATCCCTCTTTCGATATTTTTACAGGTTAAATAATCCCCCCAAAAATTGTGCAAATACAAATCTGACACTTTCCAAAGTCTTTTTTAAATTATTATTTTTACCTCAAAGATCCGTTATTACATAAATGGTAAGTAACGTGTTCCAAATCAGCCGCTTTCTCTGCAGTGTACGGTCGCGGGAGTTCTTGTATCGCAAAGTAATGCCTCGATGCTACGTATAAAGTTTACAGTCTCTGGTCTAAAGCCACATTGTTCAATGACTACAGAAGGAGCCACGTCCACAGATGTATGAAATGCCACAGACTCTGTGATGCTACACCACCTGTGCGTCATATTCTACACTGCTTTTTGCAATACATTTTTTAATACATGGCCAAATTTTCCTAATCAAAGGACGTTATAGGATGCTGTAACAAAAGCACACCTTTTATCTATACTATAATTTTGTAAAAGGGAATGGTGATTGCCTATTATGGCTTCTTAAAAGCAAGAATTCCCCTACACATGTCATGAGGAGGTGCTCACGTGCGCGGGACTCTCTCTTACTGTTGAAGTTTGGCCTGTTGCATGCACTGCTCTTTCAAACTTAAAGTTGTACTTGTTCAATAATGTTTTAAAATGTTCATGTGGCTCCACATGATAAGCTCTTTGAGCTTTGATGATGCCTCCCTAACCCACCTTTCAATGGATGTCTTGAACACACAACTATCGCCAGTCCGCCATAAACCTCATTACATGCTTGCTATCAATTGACAACTGGTGCCCATCAATGACCTGGAAGGGCATGGAATTTTTCTGAAAAATGCTTGGTTTTGACTGAACCCGTAGTCATGGTATCGATAGAGAGATATCAGGCTTGAACACTGAGATGTTGTGCATGTCGATCAGCCCTACATCAAACATCCACCAGGTAGAGGTGACGCTCTGGAAGCAGAGCTGAAATCCTGGGTGAACTCCCTGACAAGGTGAATCTCGGTGGACATCTGGTATTGGTGGATCTCCATCAGAGCCTTCCCTGCAGTAGTGAGGCTTCTAAGGCCCTGTTTATACTGAGACGCTGCGCAGACGTTTCCAGGCTATTAACAGAAACGAACAGGCTCCTAATGCAAATTTCTCAGCGTTCACATGAGGTTGAAAAACGATGTAGTTCTAGCGCCCGGCCAGTAGTGGGCAGAGAAACTTTACAACACTCACACGACCCCCAGCCTCGTGCCCAGCCCCCCTCTTGGCAGTATACTCACTTCCTGTGCAGACCCTCAGAAAGTACCAACGTCATTCTGCATTTTAACAGCAGCTGTGAACATGGAAACTGAACCTAGAGCTTCGCGTGGTCTCGTTTGGACGAACGAAGGAGTAGAATTATCCTCTGTGCCGCGCTGAAAGCCCACGAAGCTAGTTAGTGCGCGCGGCGCCATTTTTGTTTTCGTTTGTTCTCCGCTACTGCGCATGTCCAAATTTACGTGCGGGGAGCAGCGCGGAGGCGGGGGTCAGAGCAGAGGGGGATTTCACACCTTTCCCCTCTCGCGGGTGTGAAAGAGCTCCCTGCTGTGCAGCGTTTCTGAGTTGTCCCACTCTGCAGGCTGGATCTGAACACTTACGTTTTGACCCCCCTGGAACACAGTCTTCGTATGAACGGTTGGTAGCAACCGACATCCAACTATACCGTTTTACTGCCACATTGTCTTCGTGTAAACTCAGCCTAAACTTCACTTAGCTGCTTCCTCCGATGGATTTATGTGCAGTCTCTGTGGTTCTGGCCATTTTCTGCTATGTAAATCACAAGCAATATCCCCCTAACCCTACTTTTGTAACATTTAAAAACACTTTGTCTAAGTCTATATGTGTTTCTCAAAATGTTTGTGCCATGCCCATACCCAGCACATTTTGAAAATAATTGACTTTTCTTATATGGTGACAATTATTTATAACATTTATTGCTATTAACCTGTGTTGAAGTAATCAATGCGCGATCAGGGAAGAGAACTGGAATGAAAGGACCGATACAATCATTTGTTTTATCGCATACAGATGAAACTCTAATATTGTTTTTAGTGCCCTTTACTTCTGTAGTTCAACGTACAACATGAAACTAACATATGTCACACGGATGACATGCAAAATTACTTATATCACAGCTTGTAATAATAAAAGAAGAATCTCGGGAAAATCAATTTTTATTTTATGTTCAGATTATGCTCTACATCAGGAGTTACGTTTTACTAATAAACTGAAAGACCAGTAGTGAAATGTGAAGACCTACGAGTAAATGCAGCCACTGACTAAAACCTTTTCCTTACTTAACTGAGCAATTCTATTTTTTTTGCACGTTTTTTAAAGAAGATAAATATAAAAATGTCTCCATCACGTGTTCCCCCTGTCCTCCCAATACAGTCTAATAATACTGTTCTGCCCCCTCCCCCCACCTACTGCGTGTTCATGTGCACACAGTGTTGTGTAGGAGTGTGTTAGATGGGGGCTGACTTCACGCACTTTCATCCCATGTCTGCTTGTCGTCTGTCCATTATTATCATTAACAAGGTTCACTGCTGATGGTTGACCCCCCTTTGGGCTCATAATGGGAAATAAATATATATATATATCCTTACACGTGTTTGTATGATCAAACAACTCCTGGGAAACGTCCCACCAGGAGGAAACCCCAGAAAGATTCTGAACACTCTCTCTCAGCTGGAAAGCCTCAGGATTCCCTTGACCGAGCTGGATTAAGTGTGCTTGGATGGGAAAGTGTGGACACCTGTTCCGACTGCTGCCTCCGTGACTGGCAACTGCTCAAGCAGAAGATTGATGAATCATGGCACATTGTACTTTAAATCATTTTACTCTTCTGCAAACATTTTAAACTGTTGACCTTTTATGTTGAGCTGGGATTTGGTATGTAGATGGAATGAGATGTAGGAAGACCTCATTATTATTTCAACATGATCCATGGAGTAGGTAGGATGTTCTAGTTCACATCGTGAAAATTACCTATACTGCATTAATATTATATTTTAAAATGCTTAGTTCATTATTCACTGCATTGCAGAAAAATCTGCTTTTTAGTCTTTCTGCACTCGTGGGAGTCAAGACTTTATCTTAATCTGTCCTTGATCCTCCAACTAAGATTGAAATATGATTTAGTCAAATACATTATTGAAAATAATTTGGATGAATATAATCATTTCTGTGCAACTGAATAGTAAATGTGTTGGCCAAGAAAATACTAAACTACTGGTAGTAAAGTAGATGAATGAAAATGTACTCAATGTTGCTGCCTCGCTGTGGGTTATGATGATGAACATATAACAATCTTTATATTTAAATTTGTCTTATTATAGAAAGACTTAATCACAAGGTACTGATTTGCAAATAACATACTACAGCTGCAATAATTGTTCACAGCAGACACTTCAGTGTGCTATCAAAGTCTCACTGAACTGAAGAGAAGTTGCTGACATCTTTTTGTTTTCCTTGTGTTTAAAAGATGGTGGTGAAGACGTACATGGACATGGACCAAGACTCTGAGGAGGAGAAGCAGCAGTACCTCGGCCTGGCTCTGCACCTGGCCTCGGAGTTCTTCCTCAGAAACCCTAATAAGGATGTGCGCCTCCTGGTGGCCTGTTGTCTGGCTGACATCTTTAGGATTTATGCTCCTGAGGCTCCGTACACTTCCCATGACAAACTCAAGGTGAAATAACCAGCCTCAGGGAAAACTTTACAAATACAAAATAATATTAATATATATATATATTTTTTTTCTACTATAGGATATATTTCTATTCATCACTCGCCAACTAAAAGGCCTGGAGGACACGAAGAGTCCACAATTCAACAGATATTTTTACTTGCTGGAGGTAACATTTTTAATTCAGTGCCGGGCCGGTTCTTCATTACATCACTTTGCAGAACAGGCTCATTGGCATTACATCACTCTTACAGCAGCATTGTGTCTCATTGGAAAGAGCTTTCAGAAGACCAGGAAAAGTTACACAAAAGTTAACCCTCAACCTCTTACCTTTATGTTAATTAGTCTATTGTTTGACAACATTCATGTTCAGCACAGTTTCTCAATGACGTAAAAGAGTGAGGACAAAAGATCTACAGACGAGCACATGCCAACCTCCATTTGACAAATTTACATTATGCAAAATATTAGGTATATTAGAATGTGGGTCATGGGAGAATTGATTCTGTTTAAAATATATGGAAACAGGCTTTGGGGTTTTAGTTGAAGTAGTTGTTTGTTTATCCTTGTTCTTGGAATGTGGATCAGATCTAATGTCTTCATCACAATTTTACATAGAAATGTAGGTGATTCAAAAGGGTTTGCATGCTTTTTCTGGCCACTGTATGTCAATGTTTTTTTCTTTTAGAACTTGGCATGGGTTAAGTCCTACAACATTTGTTTTGAACTGGAGGACTGCAATGAAATATTCATCCAGCTTTTTAAAACACTCTTCTCTGTTATTAAGTAAGTAACTTAATATTAAAGTAGTTCTGGTTGAAAACAAGACTGTTCTATAATTATTCACAATTCCTAATTGCAACAGACTAATGAAAGTGCAAGTTCCAAATCATATAATTGATATACCACGGCAGGAATGCAAGAACAAGCAACTAGTTCACTTAGTGAACCGAAACGTATTTTGCGTAGAAATTATAGTTTGATATTTGGTAATAAGCACTTGGATTTTAATCTGATATATGATCTTTAATCTCTTAATATGGTCTACATTTTCACAGTAACAACCATAACCAGAAAGTGCAGCTTCATATGATGGATCTGATGAGTTCCATCATCATGGAGGGAGATGGAGTCACCCAAGAGCTACTCGATACCATCCTCATTAACCTCATCCCTGCACATAAGGTAGAAAAAACAGCATAAAAAACTAACTGACAATATTTTGACAATATTTGAATGATTGATTTTTTTTTTCTACAGAATTTAAACAAGCAAGCCTATGATCTAGCTAAGACATTGTTGAAGAGAACAGTTCAAACTATAGAGGCATGCATTGCAAATGTAAGGATTATCGACAAGTAATGTATTGATAAACGCACTGTCCCTAACACGTTGACATGACTTCACCCTTTGTGTTCATAGTTTTTCAATCAAGTTTTAGTGATGGGTAAGTCGTCCGTCAGTGACTTATCGGAGCACGTGTTTGATCTGATCCAAGAACTGTTTGCCATCGACCCCATGCTGCTCACCTCAGTCATGCCTCAGCTGGAGTTCAAACTTAAGGTTACTAAGTTTCAGTAGAAACTCAACAGATGTGCCTGAATCAGTTGTTTCTGTTATGTGCACATATATTAGTGCTGTCAGTTAAACTTGGTAATAACGACGTTAAAGCCAATTTAACAGCATCTATTTTTTTATTGTTTTGAATAATGCGTTTGTGTGATATGACTGAAAGCTGCGTCCCTACTGCGTTCCTCAGGTATGAGGGAACAAAAGCAGTCGCACCCACTGCTGATTATTTGAAGCTATAGTTATTTCCACTGCAGTGATTGTCATATACACTGTTAAAAAACCATTGAAATGACTGAAAACATAAAAGATATAAATTGACAATTCAAGTCATTTCTACTTTGTTAAATAATTATATGTACTGTAAAAAACAAAAGCAGAGATTGAGTAGCCTATATTAGACAATCCAAATACTTTCTTTTTGGAGGGAATTAGGATTGGATTATAGCTTCATCCAATCCCTTTTCAAACCAAATCAAGGGATATATAGAACTGGGGAAATATACGATTAAGCAAGTTTACTTTAATTGCAATTAAATATTTAAATCAAATGACAGCACTAGTATATATATATATATATATATATATATATATATATATATATATATATATATATATATATATATATATATATATATATATAAAAAACATAATTTTACTGAACTGTCTGTATGCCTTTGTTGGACAGAGCAATGATGGTGAAGAGCGCCTGGCTGTTGTGCGGTTGTTGGCGAAGCTGTTTGGGGCTAAAGACTCGGAATTGGCGTCTCAGAACAGGCCTCTGTGGCAATGCTTTTTAGGCCGGTGAGTTTCACGAAGGCCATTTTTTTCCTTTTATTTCTTATGACAATATTAGGTCTTTGGTTAGATTAAAGTTTGTGTGAAAACCTTTTTAAATCTATGTTTTCAATTCCCATGTAAAGGCAAATCACTTATTTAGAATTTTACGAGAATCATTGGAATCTGATTTGATTAAAACAACTAACTTAAGAGCCTGTCCACTCATTGGTCATTCACTTGGAGAAAAAAAAATGCTGTTTGTTTCAAAATTGGTATTGACTAGCAGACACATGCTCACCAGGATTTATTCAACCAGGATTTATTCAGTAAAAGTCAACCAGGATTTAGTCAGTAAAAGCAATGATATTTCTGAAAACTTTTTCCAGGTTCAATGACATTCATGTCCCGGTGAGACTAGAATGTGTGAAATTCGCCAGTCACTGTCTCATGAATCACCCAGACCTTGCCCGAGACCTCACAGGTAAATAATTACTGACTCTCACCAGTAATGGTAATTGAATTGAATTGAATTATTTTGTTATTACTATCCAATTAGAATTCTTAAAAGTTCGCTCCCATGACCCTGAGGAGGCCATCCGCCATGACGTCATTGTAACCATAATCAACGCAGGAAAGAAAGACCTGAACTTGGTCAACGATCAGCTGCTGGGATTTGTACGAGAACGGACCTTGGACAAGAGGGTGAGCTCAGTAAATGCAATATCCCAGCATCAGATAGTAAATAGACTTATAATTGCCAAATGTCATAAAATTAAGTCTCAATTGTAATTTCACTTTTTGATGTAATTCCTCTGATTTCAGTGGCGAGTGCGTAAGGAGGCTATGATGGGTTTAGCGCAGCTGTTTAAAAAGTATTGCCTTCATCATGAGGCTGGTAAAGACTCTGCCTTGAAGATCAGCTGGATCAAAGACAAACTGCTGCACATCTATTATCAGAACAGCATTGATGATAAGTAAGACCACCAGCACTTTTGTTTCAAATGTACAGTTCTAAGAATGTTTTTGAGTAAAAGATATTGTTTGTTCACCAGATTATTAGTTGAGAAGATCTTTGCCCAGTACATGGTCCCCCACAATCTAGACACAGAAGAAAAGATGAAATGTCTTTATTACCTCTATGCCTGCTTGGACACGAATGCTGTCAAGTAAGTTAAGCAACAAAAGTCTTAATGCTTGACTAATACACAACAGTTATTATATAAGTCTTTTGTTACTTTCTGAAGAGCTCTGAATGAAATGTGGAAGTGTCAGAATATGCTCCGTGCTCTGGTCAAAGAGCTACTGGATCTTCACAAACTTCCCGTTGTGAGTTTCGCTGTTGTACGTTACAGTTTAGACTCTGCCATTTGTTCTATTGACCGTACAATTCTTCCACTCTCTTTGTGTAGTCTGAAGCCAATAGCTCGGCCATGATGGCAAAGCTGATGAATATAGCCAGTAAGTTTTGCTATTGCATTCACATAATTATATGAAAGGTGTTCTTTATGGAACTTTATTAACATAAAAACTATATATTTAGAAAACTTGCCTGATGCTGGAAAGGCACAAGACTTCATGAAGAAATTCAATCAGGTTCTAGGTGAAGATGAGAAGCTCAGAGGACAGCTCGAAATGCTGATCAGTCCCACGTGCTCCTGTAAACAAGCTGAAGTCTGTGTGGTAGGAAGAAAACCAGAATGGTCTCATCGACCGGGTGGAAAAAGGTGTGATTTTTGTATTTGTTTTTTGCAGAGAGAGATCACGCGAAAGCTTACATTTCCCAAACAGCCCACCAACCCGTTTCTAGAAATGGTGAAATTTTTGTTGGAGCGCATTGCTCCTGTTCATATAGATTCCGAAGCCATTAGGTAAAGATTCATTATTACTTAATTGACTTTTGACTTTACCATTATCCCTGTGTAAAAAGTAATGTTTTTTTTTCTTTAGTGCCCTTGTCAAATTGTTGAACAAATCAATTGAAGGAACCGCAGATGATGATGAGGAAGGTGTCACCCCAGATACAGCAATTCGCGCAGGCCTGGAACTCCTCAAGGTAAAAAAAACCCTGATATATTACAAATGTCTGTGTCAAACCTATTCTAAAATAATTGTCTGTTTTTGTTGCCTCAGGTCCTGTCATTTACTCACCCAACTGCCTTCCACTCTGCAGAGACTTACGAGTCTTTACTCCAATGTCTAAAGATGGAGGATGACAAAGTGGCCGAAGCAGCGATCCAAATATTTAGGAATACTGGGCAGAAAATTGAGACAGAGCTACCGCAGATAAGATCGTAAGCCAGACAAAAAATGTATTAATTAATTTTACCGCTCCTTTGGTTACCTGCATTTTCATACATATGTACAGTTACTAGCGTTTTTTTTAACACCAGCAACAAGACCCTGTGTACACCGCTTAAACAACCAACATTTTGGTCACGTAAAGTAGGTTTTAAAGTTTAATTAGTGATCAGAAGGAAAGGAGGTCATCTGACTGGGTTAGGAGGAGGCAGTAGACATAAAAGTTTTGAAAAGGTACTTGAACTTTGACAATACTCTTGTCTTCCCCATGAAAACTCCAACCTCATTTGAGATCAGCCAATATGGCCACATTGCAGGGATGACACTTTTGCCCTGCTTTCGGGGATGAAGTCAATAAAAATGTTTATTTCTTGTTTTTATTGCAGCACTCTAATTCCCATCCTACATCAGAAAGCAAAGCGTGGAACTCCTCATCAAGCAAAGCAAGCCGTCAACTGCATACATGCGATCTTCAACAACAAAGAAGTGCAGCTGGCACAAATCTTTGAGGTAGAGCCGTAATATTACGTATGAAGTTATGACAAAACAACGATTTATGTTTGTCGCCCAACAGCCCCTCTCTCGCAGCCTGAATGCAGACGTCCCGGAGCAGCTGGTCACTCCTCTCGTGTCTCTGGGTCATATCGCAATGCTCGCGCCAGATCAGTTTGCATCACCCATGAAGTCCATTGTGGCTAACTTTATAGTGAAGGACCTGCTCATGAATGACAGGGTAAGTATGCCCCTTCATTTTTACCACTTTATCAGTGACACTAAAACGGTATGTCCTGCTCACGATCCTGGTTAAGTGCACAAAGCCCATTATCAGATCTAAACACTGTTAAGTTGATATTTGTTTCATTCTCTTCAGACAATGGGAAACAAAAATGGCAAATTGTGGTCCACAGACGAAGAAGTGTCCCCTGAGGTTTTAGCAAAAGTAAGGTTTTGTTTTTTACACCTCTTAATACATGTATTATTTAGATGTATTATAATCATATTCATCTCACCAGGTACAAGCCATCAAGCTTCTTGTACGTTGGTTATTAGGCATGAAAAATAACCAATCCAAGTCTGCAAACTCCACTCTCCGATTGCTGTCTGCCATGTTGGTCAGTGAAGGGGACCTCACTGAACAGAAAAAGATTAGGTAAAGATTGAGCTTTTATATAGGAGGATCTTTGTTTACATCTGTGTGCGCGTGCGCCACTGACTGTGTGGTAAGAAGACATAACGGCACATACAGAAGCATGGATGCGACGAGTACTTTTAAAAGAGTTAGTGGGCGAAATGCACTATATGTAATCACTTTAACGCAAGAAGATCGGAGGAAATATAAAGATAAGCTAAAAATAAGTATAGGAGACCGCAAAAGGAGGGTCTGGATCAACTTCATAGTACTTCATAGCACATAGCAGAAGTAGACAACATTTCAAACTCATCTTGCCTTTTGTTCTTCTGTTCATATCCTTGAACCGCTTTTTCTTTTAAACTGGTAGAAACTTGAATCAGACTGCAGACAAACAACAAGTTTATAGTATGATTAAAACAACCAACCACACATCAAGAGTGGACCATTTGATTCAGTAATACCTCTCTCAAAACGTCTAAAACTATATAACTCTGTAGCATCCAGGTAGCAGTCGCTGCTCTTTTGCCACCCAGTCAAGTGACCGGCGCGGAAAAACTATTAACAACGTCATTCAAAGATCCTTGTATATGTGTATGTTCTCTAAGATGTTACTGATGAAAGGATGCTCAATAATAGTTATTCTGTTTTTGGCAGCAAATCTGACATGTCTCGACTGAGGTTGGCAGCAGGAGGAGCCATTATGAAGTTGGCCCAAGAACCTTGTTATCATGATATCATTACACCTGAACAATTCCAGCTCTGTGGCCTTGTTATTAATGTTAGTTTGCACATTTCATTACCACTTTGTAAGGTAATACTTTCAATCTAAATCATCGTGTGCCTTTTTTTTAGGATGAATGCTACCAGGTGCGACAAATTTATGCTCAGAAATTGCATCTGGCCCTTGTCAAACTGGCATTACCCCTGGAGTACCTGGCAGTCTTTGCCCTGTGTGCCAAAGACCCAGTGAAGGAGCGCCGTGCCCACGCTCGGCAGTGTCTCCTCAAAAACATTTCTGTCCGCAGAGAGTTCATCAAGCAGAATCCCACGTCTCCTGGTTGGTGAATTATGGTAAAATAGTTTTGTGATGTCTTGGAAAGTCTAATAAAATGTTTTCTCTTTTAGATAAAATGGTTTCTCTACTTCCTGAGTATGTTGTCCCGTACATGATCCACCTTCTCGCTCATGATCCAGACTTCACCAAACCACAGGACTATGACCAGCTCAAAGACATAAAAGAGTGAGTATCTTCCATTTGGGTTTTATTTCTGTTTTGTTTTTCTGTAACATAATTTTAATGTTTGTGTGCAGGTGCCTGTGGTTTATGCTGGAAGTGCTTATGACCAAGAATGAAAATAACAGTCATGCTTTTCTAAGAAAAATGGTAGAAAACATTAAACAGACCAAGGACGCACAGTCTCCAGACGACGTAAAAGCCAATGAGGTGAATCTAATTATATATATATATATATATATATATAAGTTTTAACCACAACTCGGAATGCAAAAAATAAAAAAAAAAGATCATAAATGCCAATGCGTAAAGGAATACATTATTAAATCGTTAGTGTTTGGTGAAATTGGTTGCTTGTCTCACCCAAAGTTGACTGGGCCAATTGAAGTAAGCCTTGTATGCCAATGGAAGCATGGCTAACCTGTCTGTGTAACTGTGGTACAAATAGCAGATGTCTTATATCTAAATAATCCCATATACTGTTCCTTTTTGATTGTAAATTGAATGGTTATTTATGAGCCAAAATATGTAAATTGTTCCCAAACACCAATTCTAACACATTGTTTTCAGAACTGAGGATGTTTTTTATTTTTATTACAGAAACTTTATTTAGTCTGCGATGTTGCTCTTTTCGTCATTGCCAACAAGAGCACAGCTTGTCACCTGGACTCTCCAAAAGACCCCATTCTCCCCTCCAATTTTTTCATTGCCCAGGATAAGGTGAGGGTTATACAATATTTGTGAGTTGCCATTGTTATTTATGTGTTAACTGTCTCTTCTGTGCATATCCCATTGAATCCGAGCAGGACTTCCAAAATGATAAAGAGTACCTTTCTGCTGAGATGAGACAACAGTTGTTAACTGGAAAGGTAAAGAAAACATTCTCCAATCTCCAGCATTCTTGTTATTATTTTTGTGCATTGAAATGATGGTAAGCTCTTTCTTTGTATTCAAGCCTAAACCAGCTCCTGTTTTGGCGACGGTCAACAAGCCCATCGCAGTACCGGTGAAGAGAGTCTATCCCAAAGTTGTCACTTCCTCGGACCTAACCAGCAACAGCAGCTCTAACTCCCCATTGACTTCAACAACTATCAACAAAAACAGGTACAACATATATTTTGAGGCTTAAACAGATTGGGTTTTTGACAAATCTGACTTTCATATCATGTTTGTATTTGTAGCAATACCACCATCCAGACATCTGAGAGCAGAGCACAAGAAAACAACGAGAATCCTATCAAAAAGAAGGACGAGGCCAAAAAAGTACGACGCCCGATCAGTCTGAGCTCTTCGTAGCAATCACTCTCAACACATTCTAATCTTTGTCCAAACTGTAGACGGCTCAAAATGCAAGTCCTGCCTCAGACGCCTCACCTGCAAAGAGGCGTGGGCGCCCCCCCAAGACGGGCACTGGAACTGCGTTAGTGGAGAAGGAAAAGACTACAACTGGAGGCGGAGCTGGCAGAGGCAAGAAAAGACCTGCAGAACCTAACCCACCTGATTCTATCGACATCAAGGTGTCCAAGCAGCAGCAGCAGAACGATGAAGGGACGAAAAGACAGATTGACTTGAGGTAAACGCCTCTCCCTCACTGTTTCATAAAATGTACTTTGTCTTACTCAGTCTCCTTGGTACACTATGAGCAAAGGTCCTTTCATTAGCAAGGAAAGTTTTGTTTAATTGTTATCAGTAATTATTATGTTGTCTCATTTCCAATTCCTTTTTGCATTTAAATCTCTACATAGCCTTCTAAGACAAAACCAGTGCAAAATGTTCTTGCAATCTCTGGTTGCTTTGTCCCTCTCTGTGCACAGTTATATAAATATCGTTTTTTTTATTTATAAAGCTTTTTATTTGGTTAAAATGTTGTTTGTGTTTTATCCTTGTGAAAATGTGGTGATATAAACTGTCTTGACTGTGTGCATCATCAAATGCTGTATTTTGAATACCGTAACACATGTTGTCCTTTTCTACTGCAGGTAAAGTGAAATATCCATGAAGCAAAATAAAGTGTGGAGAAGGGACCAGACTTGTCACTTTCCCTGCTCTACATGTGGGTTTCTTACTCTAAAGCTTTTAATGGACACATTATGGACCTCTCTAAAAACAACTCATTTACTCCACTGTCGTCATAGAGGGTTTTAAATATCATTGTACTTGGGTCTTATTATGAATCATTTTCTTTTTTTGGCTTGGAGCCATTTTTAAGATAAAAAATGGATAGACATTTTACAAACATTTTAAACTGTTTACTGTTGCTTATTAAATTCCATGGGAATAATATTATCTCTCCTGACCTCTTCCTCTTTGTTTTTTAGCTCACGTTTTACACATTTGTAAATATTCAGTCTTTTGAATAAACATGACTATTAACAATTGACTAAACATGTGAACTAATTGTTGGATTGTCTTTCATGGACACCATAATCATCAGTAACTGTTTTGGCTTAGTTTACACACATATTTTCTTAAAGACTCAATCGTAGAACTTAAAATAAACCCTTTTTATTACAAGTAACATGCACCCTTTCCTAACAGAGAACTTCTAGTGGAGAATTTGCCACCTGTTTGTCTCATTGCGCTTTAATGGTTTTTAAAGAACATTCCAAACGATTTAAGTTGAACTGTTTTGTCCTGTTTTCTTTATTGAGGGGTGATGCGTCAGGTCCCAGGGATGTTACACACATTACTGCTTTTGAGGAAGTATCGGACCTGTTGGATAATCCTTATTTCCTCAATATTGTATGGAGAAGCAGTGATTTCAGTTCACTGTTGCACACCTGAAGTTTAACGTTACTCAATGACAATGGGAAAAGTATTTCTTCATTTTTATTCAAAAATCATGACAACCACAATAAACCATGCTTTAACAGGTACTTGCTTCCCCTTAAAACACACCTGCAAAGTATGTCAACCAGAAGGAGAAACTGATGCAACAATCGCCGTGCAAGCCAAGACACTACATGAAGGAACAGAAGGAATCCATTCCACTGGGCATTTCCTTTGTTCTTACTCATAATGCTCTAATGGTTGAGGGCGTGGACCTTATTTACAAAATGCATTGTGTCCCTGGCTTGAACACATTGACTATCTTATATTGGGCAGCTGACTGGCACTTAAGACCTGTACAAAAATAAGTACCATGTCTTACATTGGTTGAGATAAGGCTGTAAGTCCTGTTGCAAGGAACCTGTTTGGTTTAGCTCAGGATAAGATTATGGTACATTGTATTTCTCCTTTAGGACAGTTTTGTCCTCTGCATTTGATCTATCTGTGAAACTCAATTTAAGGATTTGTAAACTGTTCTTTTGTCATTGTCATACACGTTTAAGCTTGGGTTATCTAATTATTAAATCAATACATTATTTTCACCAGTACCACTTATATACTTTTCACCTAAAGAGACAGTACTGTTTTAACTTTAGTGCAAACCCATATATCTTGTTAACTTGACTGCCCCAAAATATTGTCAAACTGATAAAGAAAGCATTCAACAAACGACCAAAAGCACACAATCGAACATGTGAAGTGGCTGATATGCACCTGAAGGGAGCATTTCCCAAACTAAACAGATGAACCTACACTTGGCCCAAAACATGGAGTGTGACTTCAGAGCTGATTAAACCAACCAGATGTTTTGCAACAGGCCTCTGAATTCAACTTAACTCAAAATGTCAACCACGAGGTATCTGCCCTACTGCTGCCTCATAACCAAAACCATGTTTTTAGGCAAAGGGTTTTATTCATATTGACAACAAATTGTGACCATGGTTGAATAGGCTCAGGGATGTAGATAAATCACACATTTGTGAGATAAAAGGCATATAAACCAATGTTGGCAGATTTTCTCCTATTATAATTGTATAGCTATGCAAAACCAAAGCCCTAAACAAAAATAAAAAGGGATCTGCTCCGTGTAATTGTAAACTAAGCATAGTTTGTATTTAAAATAATTTGCTATACAGTGTCATGTAATAAAGTGTCACCCAAATATTTGCAAATATACACAGATATGTACAACAAAAATTGAGAGGATTTATGCCACTGATAGAATCAGCAAACATTTGTGTTGTATATTTATCTGACATGTAGGTTTTCAGATCTGAATTACAATGTCCTTAAGCACTTTGAAAGCCAATTGTATATTTTTTTATCAATGGAAACTTGATACAGATAAACTGAAAAATAAAGTAATGGAAGACAATTCTATGATTGTTACACTTTGGCTAAAGTAAATAGTTTCTGTATTCAAGAATAGACCATTTGCTGTGCATAAAATAACTAGTAGAGCTACATAAGATTGTAGCAGAAATATTATGGAGACCAGCTTCTGTGACAAGGACATTTCTGTGTAATAAAAGGCAATGGTGGAATGGTGCTCAGAATGAGCTGCTATTATTATTATGTTTGGGTTTTGGATCCTCAGATGTAGCCCAGACTCATTTGTTAATCAGTAGTTCCGATGCCGTTGCCACGTCCCACGATTTTGAAGACAATGCTGCTATTACTTCATCCTAAACAAGAGAAATTTTAGGATAACTTTTTCAATTCTATAATATGGTTAAAGATTGATTAAAAAAATAGTGTTACAATATTTTTGAATAAAATAATGAGAAGGAAGTACAATACCTAAAAAAGCGTGACTTGTAAAAACAAGTACAAAAGGACAATTTGAAATTACCTCATCAAAACCCATGGCACAAAGTTTGTCTATTTTGACTTTATAGTCAGGATTGGAGACTGGAGCGCCAGCATAGATGTGAGACCACAGCCTTGCAGTCTGTTTGAACATATCTGGGTTCTGTTTGTACTAAAGTAGGAGGAGAAGAATTCAAGTATCACACAAGTTAGGGGAATATAAAAGCAACGTTATACTACAAAGTTGAAGTGTCAGACCTGATTTGCAACAACAGCATCTTGTGGATCATCTGGTTCAGCGGCGGCAAGGAGTGCTTGAAGTGACAACAACACGGTTCGTAGGGTCATAGCAGCTGCCCTGAGAACGAAGCTGGGAATTAGTATGTCACTAAACCAACAATACAAACTATTTAATTGGAAGGAAGAGAGTATCCCCCGTCCTAAAACATTGAATTTCCTTGACTCATTTCTGTTTGTATTATTGATCTACCATAACAATGACCTTCTGAATATGGTTTCTAGGAAGGAGCAGCGGGAAGATCCCAGCATGCAATGTGCACATCAGCTCGACATTTTTTGAGAAAATGGCTTTTTGAAGAACATGTTAAATACGTCCTATAAAATTAAAATAAATGTACATCTGCAGGAAATCTTAACACATAAGGAGTGTGTGAGCCTTGCAGTGTGGCTGTCATCAATTGATGGCGGCTGCGGCTATAAAGTGTCAAACTGGTGTTGTGTCCTTAGGCAAGACACTTCACCCACATTGCCTAGAATGAGTCTGGTGTGTGTGTGTGAATGGTTGGTGGTGGTTGGAGGGGCCGATGGCACATACTGGTTGCCTCGCTTCTGTCAGTGTGCCCCAGGGCAGCTGTGGCTACTGTAGTGGTTTATCACCACTGTAGTAGTTTATAGAGTGAATGAATAATGACACATGTGAAGCGTCTTTGAGTGTCCAAAAAAGCGCTATATAAAACCAGTCCATTATTATGATTATTAATTATATGTTTAACGCCACTTTGCGCACGTTGAACAGTCTCTGAACAGCTGTGATTTCCACCATAGGTTGGAAGATCTGGATTCATTCACTTTGGTTTTAAAATATTTGACTTCCACAAAAGATTATGCAATATAATTCATGTGACAGGTTCCTAGCTCTCAAACCTGTTCCATCACTAGTTTTCTAATACATTGTTTTTGGCACATCTTTAGGTCAGGTTTTTCACCAACTTCAGAATCAGTTCCAGTATCTGAAAGATAGCCGGATCTTTCTAATAAGAGAAAGACAGCATGTTGTACTCTGAATTGTTCACAAAATGTTACTTAAGACGTTTTTTCTTTTGGAACTCATTTTTCTTAATTTATGAATAATCCTATCCTTAATACATGCTAATAAATAAATAAACATGCAAGGTTGTCCTCAACAGGAGGTCAATAGAGAATGGGAAAATCCCTCATAATACAGTGTATTTTACAACATAGAACAAAAATATAGGATATTATATTATTATTGGATATGATTTTTAGAGATGTGTCCAGTTGATGTCATTTAAGTGTTTAAATGAGGTGTATGTTTTACTACGATGAGAATCAATGAATATACAGTTTAAACGCAGCACAAGAGATAATTGCAAATAATCTACACTAAACAGCACAGGATTTTACTCACCACTGATCTTTTAAAATGTCCAAACATATTGCCCCCGTTACTGAGCTGATATTAGGGTGCCAGATCTTGGTTATGAAGCGTACCTACAAAAAAACAAATATTATACAGCAACAGAACAGAGATGCTATGTTGTAGTGTATATAAATACCTTTGGTGGGTTGAAAGGGTAGGTTTCAGGTATTTTTATTTCTAGTTGATACCTTCCTCCTAAAAAATAGCAACATTAACCAAAGGTCGTGCCAATACAGAAAGACACAGCATGACAAAACAGTAGAATTGTATGTCTGTACCTTCATACGGTGTATCTGGAGGACCTGCGATCTCCCCTCGGAGCTCTGTGAAGTTTTCATCCACCAAGTCGACTTTTATCTGGTTTTTACTTGTCTAAAATAAAAAGTGAGGCATAAGCAGAAACTGGGTATCGTTTAGCGAGTACTTTTCCGAAAATAAAATGTCCTGGTGTTAGCGCTTTAGTGCAGGAAATGACACTTGATGTTAGCAACAGTTAAGCTAGCTGACGTCAGTGTTAGCTAGCATAGTGCTGCTCTTCTTCACAATGAGGTTGTTTATTTCACAAATCTGCAACCATTACACTGATAACAGTTCACAAACACGCCCTTATACTTTAACATTTGATAAAACACAAACAGTTGTTATTCTCCCATATGTTGTGGCGATGCTAATGCAGACTGTCCTGTTAACGCTGCACTAATCTGATAGCGACTGTATTTAGCAAGTCAAATATTTGAGGCATGTTTCAATCTAACGCTGTGTAAAAGTTTGTACTGTACGTGGCCTCGGTGTAAATTATCATATTGTAATGCAAAGGGAACTCATCAGAGAGAGGGCCTGGCAGGGAGACCGTCTGTCACATAAACACTAGTTTGTCTAAACAGAGTCATCGAGCTAAGGCCATGCTGCTGCTGGAACTTCTGAATATCAAGTGTCAGAGAGGTCCCCTGCATTACTTGTATTCACAGTCCTGAACTAGCACACAGCATTGGATTCAGTTTCAGCCCACACACCTCTTCGCTTTTAAGGACTTCTTTAAACTCCCGCTTGATCCTTTGCACCGCGATGTTAGCCATGGCTCCGTCCGCGCCTCTCCGCTGCCTGCTCTGGGGCCGGGGTCTCTCTGGTCTCCCCTCGCTCTTCCTCTGTCTGCGTGGAGAATACTGTACACTGTTGCACATAGATGTTCACTGTCACCGCAGAGGTCTGTCAGCGGGGAACATCCAGAACATGCACCAGTCTTTGCTCTTTAGTGTAGGACCGGGGCGAGAACTTTCACAACACACACATGAGCGAAGAGCCTGCCTGTGCTGTTCTCTACTTCTATACTGACTGAGTCGAATAGTGATAATAAAGGTATATGCGAGTCGTATTTGTAGTATTATCATGATCATTATTTTTATTGTTAAAGTACAGTTTGGGAGACTCAAATATACTTTACATTGCGTTAGTAATGTGCTTCATGTACGGTGGGGGGTTAAAGGGAATTGCGTTTGCCTCACATGCCTTCTGTGGCCGACCTTTAAACCTTTGAGGTAGCTTATATTGTATTATGGATAGGAATGATGTGCAAGTCATTAATTCTCAACAAAAAACATAAGGATTCTGTCTTTTTAGGATGGACCATTACATAAAAAAAGCCATAATAGAGGAATGTGTGTTTTGTTTTTTTGTTTTTTTTCTTCCATAGAGGCATGTTTGTTTACTATCGTTAACACGGTCGTGCTTCGTTTTAATTGGCCAAGAAACCTGTCTGTACATGATCAAACCCAATGGGAACATGGGGGCGGAGCTCTGAGAGGCTTCAGTGGTATGTTCACGTGGACGCTTCAAAACAAAAGTTCGTGGACCAAAAAAGTATTTAAACAATTTGATACGATTCATTCATTTTTGTGTGTGGCCTCTACACTATTTACTGGACCGCTGCGTACTTCTTTCTCCCAATTTTAAACGTATTAACTTATTTATTCCTCTTGAAAAATAGGAACTATAACTTGCCTTATTTAAATGTATTGCAATATTTACAGTCTAAGATTGCAATTCATTAATTCAAGTCCAAGCTTCATTTTGTTCATGCTCCTAAAAAATCTAAATAATACATACGTTTTCAAGAACATTTCCTTATTGTACAAATGATTATCTTCATCTGAAAATAGAAATGTCTCAAAACAGTTTCAAATACATCAAGAATATATTTTATATATATTTCAGTGTATAAATTATTGTATTTTTTCATCATGAAATCTTATTTGTTGTGGTAATTCCTCACCAATATGTTATTCTATAGCCTTTTTCTGCAAACAGGTTATGGTGTTCTTTGTCTGTATCCAATCATATTTGCTCCTCCTTATTGTGAGGCAGTGACAAAAGAGTAGAGCACGGACAAAAAAGTGTTACAAGACTTCCTGGGCGTACAGCTACGGTTGGCTCTTTGGAAAACATTAGTATAAAATGGCCGAGGGTGGATTTGATCCTTGTGAATGCATATGCAGTCATGAACAAGCCATGAGACGCCTTCTCAACCTGGTAAGTGAAAACTGTACCCACTGGTTTTTCCAGGAAGTTGTCTGAAATTTGGGATCAGCAAACTGGAGGCAGGTCAGCACATCCTGGTTCCTGTTCACTCTCTATCAGAACTTTTTGATAAGTATTATAGGCAGATGCTGGCATTTAGTGAGAAGGACCATAATGTAGTACATTCTTGTGTACAAAGTTTCTCTTGCATTTGGTTGTTTTACAAATTACCTCCGTGTCTGTAAACAGGTGGAGCTTGCAGGGCAGCTTCTGATGCAAAGCTCAGAGAAGCCTTAGGGATTTATGCTTCTTATCAGGAAAAGTGGTTTTGAAAGAGAACTAATCATAATAGAATAATTCATTACTTTATTTTTGATGGACAATGTTTGTTTCTTCTGTTTTTCAGCTCAGACAGTCTCAGTCCTTCTGCACAGACACAGAGTGTCCTCAGGAATGTATGCATTCTTGTTTTCTCTTGTTTCACACAGAATTTAGTTTTACTCTAATGCTAATGTTTAACAGGTGTATTTTGTACTGTTATTTAGTACCAGGACCCGGCAGGTTTACTGGCCAGAATGACTTCACTTTACAGATGGTCCTCATTGGATGGGTAGCTCTGGCACTGCTGCTGTTCTTGTTACGTCCAGCAAGTCTCAGAGGTTCTCCAGCTACAGACAAACCCAGTGGACCTTTTAATGTAAGTACATGTGTATTGATCTCAATGACATCCGTTTTGTCCTTCTTTTGATCTAAAACCTACTTTACTTTATCTCCTTTTGTTTAGAATGGACGCCAAGAACCTCCTGCGCCTCCAGTTGACTAGTTATGAAACCGGAGATACAATTGAATGAGAAGGCAGATACTGTAGATGTAATCATATACATGTAATTTCCATCTGACTTCATCTTAGCCTGTTTTAGCTGAACATAATTTGTACCATATATTTAAGAAAACATATTGGAGAAAATGACATGTCTTGCATTTTTACTTTGACAACACTCAGTTCCCTTTTGTTCAGACATTGCTTTTTCCCCTTCTATTACACTGTTCAGTCGTACAGGGATTATTCAAAACAAAGGAAAGTTGCTCACTCAGCAGTTTTTCCCGATATTTCGTCCTTAATCCAAGGAACTTTCTAAAGGAAATGAAAGCGCAGCCAATTTTTAGATTTATAACTTGTGGGTGTGGTTAGACACCCCCTGATCCTGGGGCTAACTCATTAACACATCTAAGGTCTGCTAAGATTTGGTAGAGAGCAGGTCTAAGGATCTCGCTAGGGCTAACGATCCTACCTCATTAGCATATAATGATTATAGATCCATGTTAGCATGTCACTGACCTCATCTGAGTGTTATTTTTTATTTTTTTGAAATATTGATACATTTAATCATTTTTAATTTGTTTTATTATTAGTATCATCTCTTTTTGCTCTGCAAATAAAATGCAATTATGTGAGTTATGGTTTTCAGCAAGGGTGTTGACAACACCTTTGTTTATTTGTTGTGTTTATGAATTTGGGAAATAGCCCCTTTCAGTTTTTACTTGAGCTCATTACATGTATTATCCTGAGGGGGGCAGTACTGTGCCTTTGAGGAGCTTAATCGAACACCAACCAAGCCCAGAAGAACGTGTTGTCCTAGGTTACTGTAAACAACAAGTACCCACACGCGGATTATCCAAAGACACAGAGAAAATACGACTAAAACGTCGCTATCTACAACATATCCGGGAACCCTTTGTATAGACAGCTCTGAGCTTTAGTGGTCTTTCTGCAGGGATGAAGGTTTTGGAATAGCAGATGTGGGTAGCTCGCGTTAGCTTAGCGGGGACTGCTGTAATGTCACGTTTCCATGCAAAGTGCGAATATGCAACATCAGCAATTGGGGACTCTAGCTTATACCAAGAGTCCCAAGACTTCAACACGAACAACGTTTCAGGTAAAATAGCCATTTTTCTTTGGAAATACTACCTTCAAAGTTGCAGCACTCAGAGTGTTATTGCAGGATGAACTTCAGGCTGCTGTTTCTGCCCGGGCAAACCGAGTCGTGATGGACCAATATTCTTCCAACGACTTCGAAGACGAGGATGGTGTGTTTTATAAAGACGCCAGTTTATGTTAATATATACTTATATGAATGTGTTTGCCCAATAATAAACTCGGTGATATGCTATTGCAGATTTTTTAAATGAACTTCTTAAATCAAGAAAGAAGAAGACAGAGACACTCAAGAAAAGTAAAGTCAAAACTGTCAACTTTGCCTTTTCTGATGAGGAGGACAAGCCCGTTACATCTAAACGAGTTTCATTTTTTAAAACAAAAAAAAAACCTCAGGAAGGCAACCTCATTGACCTGCCTCCTCGCCACTTGCTTGATGGCGAAGGTGATGGTGACCATAACCTATTTCCCTCAAAGTATCCCTCACAGTCTGATGAAAACACAAGTGTAATAGAATCAACTCGTTCTCAAGATACACAAGAGAACGCAAACAGATTTGCATCTCCACTGCCAGGAGATGCTTTGGAAGACATGACTCCACTGGTACCTGATACCTGTGAGGACAATGCAGTAAATGCAGCCCCAAGTGAGAATTCTTTTGGCCTATTTCGCAGATTTGTTCCATATGAAATTCAAATGATTAATCTCTTGTAGGAAAAGAACTCCCCACACCCAAACCACGGCAAAGAGCTCTCACCAGAACTAACCAAGCACAAATCAATGAGTTATGTTCAACAACCAGTGAGCCATCTAATCAGCATACCACATCCAGGTGCAGTCCAAATGTGAGTATCTGCCATTGTTCCTGTCACTTTTAATATGGCCATATTCATGATATGTATGTTTGTATTTATAATTGGTTAACTATGTCAAAGTTTTCATTTAAAACCATGACATATATTATTTCAGCTTTCAGAAGGAGTGCAAGAAGCTCAAAATAACAGAAGTCATTCCTTGTCAAGTATGGGTGAACATTCAATGCTCACAAAGTCTACACTGGACTCAGAATCAAAAAGTAACCACCTCAATGTGTGCACTGGTTTCAATGTGGACTTGTTGACCTATGTTTTTTTTTTCATTTTAGATGGTTTTACTTCAGAGGACATAGATAATAATTGTCTTTCACTTGAAGAACTCACCGTATCTCAGCCACAGACTACATTGGTACTTGTTCTCAATAGGGATCAAATGTTGGGGAAAAATGTGGTGTGTAAAAGTGTGGTAAGGCGTGTTCTAACTTCCCAGGACGAGCCAGTGGATCTGACAGATTGTGCGACTAAAAATAGCGTTCCTGTCTCTGAAAACCTGCATGATACATTGTAAGTATATCTTCAGAAAGAAACGTTGATTTATCTCTAAAAATGATAGCCTGATCTCATGAAATTAAAATGTTTCCAATAGAGTTTCAGCTTCTCGTACCAAAGGCTGTGGGAGTGTGAGGACAGTGCAGTCTAAGTACCTTGGGTCCCTGAGAGTTCTGGATCGCACCATTTCTCTTCATGAAGCACAAGAATCACAAGAACCCGACTCACTACGAGCTGCAGTTTATCAGGTAACTACATTTGAACTTAATACACTTCTATCTCCTCTTGTAGACAACTACACTGCTATTGTGTGATGTATTGGCACATTAGAAGGGCCTGGATGATATTTTGAATGGTCCAGTTCAATTCACACATTTAAAAACATAATAATAATAAGTAATAACAAACAAGTATAACATTTATTACAACAAAAACAATGTTTTAGCCTGTGGGTGTGCATAGACAAAGCCCAATTGAATGTGTATGACTGTATGTTTATACTTGTGTGACATTCATATAGATTATAGATCATTGTTTTGTTCAATTCAGTTCAATTCAATTCATGTGTATCTTTTGTTTTTAATCAAATACCCATCAGGAATGGATTAGGAAGAAAAAAGAGAGTTTGAAACAAAGTATGGAAATGAAGAAAAAAGAGTTTTCTGTAAAAGAAAAACAAAAAAAGGTATTTATTGAAAACGCAAATAGTATCCGTTATTATAATGCATATGACTTCAAATGGTGCAACTGCAGGATCAGGAAGCTAAAAAGGAAGAGGCTAAAGTCTCCTATGAAGCATGGAAAGAAAGTAAACGGGAAAGTCTCAAGGAAAAACACAAAGAGCAACAAGAAAGGATCAGAAAGGAGCAGAGAGCAAGAGAGGAGAAAGAGGAGAAGCGACGGACATCGAAACAGGTTTGGCAAAGTTTTGAATATTGCTGTTTCTCAAATCTATAATCAATCTATAACAACATGTTTCCTGTATTTAAGGTATTTGATCAATGGAAGCGTGAGCGGGATATTCTCCTCAAAGAAAAACACCAGAGAAAAACAAAAGAGGAAACCGATCAAGAATTACAAAAACAAGAAAAAGAGAAAGACAGGAGAAAAGCAAATTATTCAGCCTTCACTGAGTGGTGGGTTATGGATTATATTAATTATAGTGACTCGTTCAATTCAATTCTGTTCAATAATTTCATCTTATTTAGGAACGAAAAAAAGAAAAACCTCCTTTATGAAAGAGCCATTGAAAAACGTAAAGAACTCAACAATACCGTCAGAACTGAACGCAGTTTGAAAGAAGAAAAGGATAAATTGGCATTAGACATGTACGAGAGTTGGCTGGTCAGTAATTAGTTATATCATATGCTGCATAGCTGCTGTACTTTTTGAGTTTCATTTTGACTTTTGAATTAACAGGCAAAGAAGACTATAGAATATGAAAGACACAAAGAAGAGAGCTGGTTTCAAGGAATACTTAATGATGGCACCACCCCTCCTCCATGGAGCCCTCCAAACAAAACTATACCGCGGGGAAAATAATGATGTTCTTTTTTATTATTTTGTAAATACAATTGTCCATTCTGGAATTATTTGTAGTTGGAAAGGGCCCAATGTGTTTACATCTATTCAATTTTTAGAAAATGAATAAATTACCCATCCACGTTCTCACCCTTACTACGGTCATGAGCTTTATGGGAATGACTGAAAGGATGAGATTGCAAAGACAAGCAGTCAAAATGAGCTTCCTCACACAGAGTGTCTGGGCACTCCCTCATTGGGTGAGCAACTAGGACACACTGGAGGAGCTTAGAGTAGAGCCGCTGCTTCTCCATGTCAAGAGGAGCTAGTTGATGTAGCTTGGGCATCAGTTGAGGTAGCTTTTGCATCTGTTTATTGTTTATTCAAGCTTATCATACATTTTGTGTAAATAAATACATTTCTTAAAAAATCTGCTTTTATTTTGAAAAGATCCATAGCGGAAGTTAATGGGGGCAATAAGTAGTCAGACAGTGCGCTACATGAGCAGAATGCATCAGATGCACGCACTAGAACTGTCTTTAAACGTGCTAGCTATGTTTTTCTAGTATATGGTTTTAAATTTAGTATTATTCCCCCCCTTTTTATTCACGAGAAACACGATTATTTTGCGCAATACTGTATCGTCGCCAGACTAGTTCACTGAAGTGCCAGAAGAAGTTTGGTCTGTCGAGTTGGCAAAGGTAATGTACCGTTTGAGTCTTCAACTTTTCCATTTCTTCAGGTTTTTCTTGAACTGAACTAATGCTGCCAACGTTGAGTAAAGACATGTATGTTTAATTTGTGGGTGTCATTAGGAGTGCCCTAATTATTCATCTGAAGCACACCCTTCACCCAGTAATCTGGCAGCAGCACTGTGAAAACTAGGTGACAGGTAGTGGGACAAAAGGTCGTTCTTCCATCTGCAGCGGTGATGGAGGAGCTGCATGAATGGCCCTTTATACAGCTGTAGCAGGGTAAAGTGGTGCGGCTGGTGATGAGAGGACTGGTCTGAGCTGAATGAATAGTGAAATTACTGAATAGTAATTACCTACAGTAGACCAAAGTTCTACCGTTTCTTCTGTAATCTGTGTGCTGGCTTTAAATGTCCTTCAATGATGCATAACAAAAACATTTAAATTGATATCTAAGAAAACTGGATGCTTCAAAAAGAGACCTCTAAATGCACATGGGTGGGCTTTGTGAAAGAACCTGATGCTCTGTGTTTTCAGATGTTCCAGATTAAGAGGATCTGTTGTATTGGTGCTGGGTATGTTGGTGGCCCAACATGCAGTGTCATTGCTGCGATGTGTCCAGAGATAACAGTGACTGTTGTTGATGTTAATGAGTCTCGTATCAAAGCCTGGAATTCAGATATCCTTCCCATATACGAGGTAATGTGTGAGTCCTTTTTTCCATTGTAGAACTTTTTGGGTATATTTCACAACTCTTTTTCTGAATGACGGTGAAAGTCTAATTAGTTCCAGACTGGTCTCTTAACTCTGCGTCATCTCTGGCCACAACCTATTACATCAACCTCCTTTTAACTGCAATAGTTCAGTTACTGAATGAACACTTCTTGACTCATGTTATGTGGAAATTGCTCATGTTTCTTCTATATTCCAGCCTGGTCTCCAGGAGGTTGTAGAATCATGCCGGGGTAGAAATCTGTTTTTCTCTACTGACATCGACTCAGCCATTCGGGATGCTGACCTTGTCTTTATCTCTGTGAGTTTTTTCACATTCTCATAAAAGTATTTAAGGATGAGAAGCAAATAATTAAATTCCTTTTTTTTCTTTTTGAATGTTTCCAGGTGAACACACCAACCAAAACCTATGGAATGGGAAAAGGCAGAGCTGCTGACTTGAAGTTCATTGAAGCCTGCGCTCGAAGGATTGTCGAGGTGTCTGATGGCTACAAGATCGTCACTGAAAAAAGCACTGTCCCTGTCCGTGCTGCCGAAAGCATTCGCCGAATTTTTGATGCCAACACCAAGCCAAGCCTTAATCTACATGTGCGTATGGTCCTGTGCGAATGGTTCTAACTCTCAGACTGGTTTTAATGTTTTCTGAATATCCATCTTCATCCATTTAGGTGCTGTCCAACCCAGAGTTTCTTGCAGAAGGAACGGCTGTGCGAGATTTGAAGGATCCAGACCGTGTCCTGATTGGAGGAGATGAAACACCAGAGGGTCAAAAGGCAATCAAGGCTCTCTGTGCCGTTTATGAGAACTGGGTCCCTAAGGCAAGAATCATTACCACAAATACGTGGTCATCAGAGCTGTCCAAACTGGTAAGGCAGAGTGTGTGTTTATCAATACACTGGGATGATTCCACTTTCTGCAGACATTTTGTCATTACTGTGTGATTGTTGACTTGCATTTCTAGGCTGCAAATGCATTTTTGGCACAACGAATCAGTAGCATAAACAGCATCAGTGCACTTTGTGAAGCCACTGGTGCAGACGTTGAGGAGGTTGCTAAGGCCATCGGTATGGACCAGAGAATTGGCAGCAAATTCCTCAAAGCCAGTGTTGGTAAGAGACTCTACCGTCTACTTTAGAACTTACAATTATTCATCAACTAATTATCAACTGTTAATTAGGCTTTGGAGGAAGCTGTTTTCAAAAGGATGTGCTCAATCTGGTTTACTTGTGTGAGGCTCTAAATCTTCCTGAGGTAGCCTCCTACTGGCAACAGGTGACTACTGCGCATATCCTATTCAAATGTTCATGTCTACGCACTTGTTAACTTTCACGATTTCTTTTGCTTTAGGTTATTGACATGAATGAATACCAAAGAAGGCGCTTTGCTTGTAGAATCATTGACTGCCTCTTCAACACAGTAACGGACAAGAAAATTGCTCTGCTTGGTTTCTCTTTTAAAAAAGACACGGGGGACACAAGGTGACTGGATTCAGATTCAGTGTTGCACACTTTAGGTCTCGGAGTATACTCATTTGCACAGATTTTTACTTCTGACTTTGCCATGTCTCTTTGGTCACAGGGAGTCTTCGAGTATTTACATTTCAAAGTATCTCATGGATGAAGGTGCCAAGCTGTTCATATATGACCCCAAAGTCCTAAAGGAACAAATCATGTATGATCTCTCCCAGCCCAGCATCTCAGAAGACCACCCAGAGAGAGGTAAACTCCAAATCTCTGACGATGTTGACAATGGGTTAACCTCGGTTGTTTTGTCTAGTTTCCCAATTGGTGACTGTGACGTCAGATCCCTACGAAGCTTGCCAAAGCGCTCATGCCCTCGTCATCTGCACTGAATGGGACATGTTCAAGGTAAATAAAACGTCTGTCCCATTATTGGACTAAGGAGTCAGTTGAAACAGTGGCTGCTTTTGACAGGAACTTGACTATGAAAAGATTCACAAGAAAATGTTGAAGCCTGCTTTTATATTTGATGGCCGAAGAGTGTTGGATCATCTCCATCCTCTGCTCCAGAATATTGGTTTTCAGGTGAGCCTTCTAAGCCTGAGTTTACCATTCTGCTAATATTTGTTAGCATATATTTTCATAGAGTATTTCTTTCTGCAGATCGAGACCATTGGCAAGAAGGTTGCACCTGCAAGAATCCCCTATACCCCTGCGGCTGTGGGACCCCGGACTGTTCCCAGTGAACCTCCTCCAAAAACAGCCAAAGTCTGAGTTGCCCACATTCCTCACTTCTTATCATCATCAGTGACCTGATGCCTTGATCAGTGTGACACTTGTGTGGGAAATACAGTACAAAGACAAAAATCATTCCAATCAGAAAAGGTCTCATATTTCGGTGTATTAACATTTCATTTGTTTATTATAATGCTATACATGTCAGTATACTGAACATTTTTACTGTTAACTGATCATATTATAAAATGTATACATTTTTAGATATTTTTTATAAAAGGTTATATTGTGCGTCATTCAATGTATTGCTAAATTTTAAAGGGCCAATGCAATAAAATGATCTTAAGTATTTCTTTCTTTTTTAATCATTTAGAATGGCAAGAACAAATAGCTTTATTAAGAGAAGCTCATTGCCCTAAATAATGAATTCTATGACAACATGAACGGTCAAATTCATGTGGCGCTTTTTCTACAAGCTACATAACTTGCAGGTTTGTCATAATTTATTGTCCCTGCTCGAACTCAATGAACACATCAAAGGACTGATAATAACAGGACACCCTAGTGGCAGCTGTGAGCTACAAATCTCTGTTCTTTACATTTCTGACTTAAGCAAAAGTACTGTTCTTCAGTCATGTGGTCTGTCCAGTGTTTAAGGTTCGACTGCTGGTAAGAGGCATGGAATAAGAAGAGAATCTTAAGCTTCTTTCTTTTCGTCAGCTTTTCTTTTGTCCAGCAGGTTTTTCAGAAAGAATTCACCTGTAATACATGCATTTATGTTACAAAGCTGTAGTTATACCTTTGAAAGGATTAAAAACCAACTTTAAAGATATCTGCAAACCTGCTTTGTAGGAGGATCGCACCAGGGGTCCACTGGCAGTGTACAGAAACCCCATGTCATTGCCAACTTTTTCCCAATGAGCAAACTTCTCTGGAGTGACATACTCGTCCACCTACATTTTGACATTAACAAAGGATTATTTACAGCTTCAAGAAATGGCAGACATTTTTTTCAATAATAAAAACTAATGTACCTTAAGATGGCGTTTTGTTGGTTGCATGTACTGGCCTAATGTTAAACAGTCAACACCAGCTTCTCGCAGCTCTGCAAATAACCATGTGTATTTTAAAATCGTATAGTATATCACAAGACTCAGTTTCATTTTATTCAATATCTCTGAAAAGTTTTGTTGAAAATGTCAATTCTTTCAGGTAATTTAAACGAGCACAAACGTTTTTGCACCAACCTTGCAATGTATCTTGAATTTGTTCATCAGTTTCCCCCAGTCCTAGCATGATTGACGTCTTTGTCAGAATAGTACTTTTCACTTCCTTAGCATGACGCAAAACCTTCAAAGACTGGTCAATGTTCGCCCTGGGGTCACGAACATATCTGACGAACAGAAGGACACAGGAGTAAATGTACACGATCTTAAATTAATTCTAGCTGCATGCAGATATAGTGACAGACACCTTTGTAGCTCTCGCACAGTTTCTACATTGTGAGCGTATACATCCAGTCCTGACAATGCAATTTTCTCCACAGATGTCAGGTCGCCACGGAAATCAGGTGTTAGACATTCGACTAAGATAGCTGCATTCCTAACAACAAAATAACAACGATTAAGGATTCATTATGTAAATTAGAAAGAGAGAAAACAAAAATGTACCTTTCTTTTATATTAGAAACTGTTTTGGCAAAGTGTTCTGCCCCTCCATCTGAAAGGTCTAGAAATATACAAAATACATTAATTATACCAAAAACTCAACCCAGGCTTGTCTCTTTAGGGTTTTTAACCATACCATCTCTATCCACCGATGTCAGGACTACGTAGTCAAGGCCCCAAGCCACAATTGCCTTGGCAGTATTGTAAGGTTCATTAGGATCAAGAGGAGGAGGCTGACGGGCTGTTTTTACAGAGCAGAACCTGCAGCCGCGAGTGCAAGTATCCCCCATCAGCTAAAATAAACAACATAATAACAATATTAGAAATAAAATTAGCGAGAATATGAAATATGTGAAAGCGTAATGAGGAAAAGTTATGCAATGCACTTTTGTAGCTTAAACAAATTTGGCCTCTTCGATTTGATGTAGTTAGTATGAAATGTCCATGTTCTTAAGTCTTCTCGGTGATACAAAATGTGAGTTTTCAAGTAAAAATAAAACATTGGAAGAACAGTACAAAAAAAAAATGACATTCACTTGTTCTATATTATATCACCATAATTGTTGCTGTTGCAGTAGAAAACTCTCCTCCACCCCAGCATTCCCCGATGTTAGGGCACCTGGCTTCTTCACATACCTAGGAGCAATAAGTGATGATGACAATCCCCCAACAAAGTACTGATATCTCCTGAATGGATGCAGAACTTACTGTGTGCAAGTTGAGGTCTCTCAATGTGTTTTTGAGTCGGTTAAAGTTCTTCCCTATGGGAATCTCAGTCTTGAGCCATGGAGGAAGCCGTAATCTGTATTTTAAAACACAACAGTCATTTTGCATGTAATTTATTCATTCAATACATTCACAAAGGAGTGTATCACGTGTAAGTTTTTTTTGTCTATAAAAAAATAAATAAAGACAAAACACTATTTTTTTTTTTATTGCAACATACATACATACTTACTCTCGTTGGGAGACACCAATTGTGAGACACCAAAAATAACATATGGTATGTCGGTAAGGAAAGTCACAACAACAAATAATCACATATAATATAACATAGAACAACGACTCATCACATATATTTTCAATATCTTTTAATGAGTTTTGAGTTAAATTTTAAATGAGGGATGGTATTTTATTTTGCCATTTGTTTATTGTAGCCACAAGTGCCCTAGGGAAGACTGACAGAAGCAATGCATTCTTCAGCCCCTCCCATCCCCCATCTCCACCAATCATTCATGCACCAGACTCTAACTAGATAATGTGGGTGAAGTGTCTTTGGACATAAGACATTACAACCATCTCACTGCAATCACCTGATGATCCCTGGGGTCTCTCATCACAGTACTATCCAGGTCCTGCCCAGCTTAGCTTCTAACAAGATCAGGCTTTTACATGCAGGTGAAGAGAAAAAATAAATATGCATACAACACGCTTCATACTATTCTCCGATTTGTCCTTTGAACTTTACTGATAAAAGATATCACAGAATCATAAACAGTGTTTTGTAAGTAACTTTGAAAAAGGTAATTTGTTGCATTACTTATTAGTTACTTTTTATACTTGCATGCAAAAGTCAGATCCCGTCAGACCTCTGAAGCTGTGCAGGGGCCTGGTTAGTACTGTGATGGGAGACCTCTGGGAACACCAGGTGCCACAGTGGGGCAGCTGCGGCTGTAAAGTGCCAAACTGCTGTTGTGTCCTTAGCAAGACACTTCACCCCCATTGCCTAGAATGAGTTTGGTTTGTGTGAGAATTATTAGTGGTGGTCAGAGGGGCCGATGGCACATACTGGTTGCCTCGCTTCTGTCAGTGTGCCAGGGCAGTTGTGGCTACAGTAGAAGTTCATTTAGTTTATGGAGTGAAAGAAGTATCACATGTGAAGCGTCTTTGAGTGCTATATGAAACCAATGCATTATTCTTATTAATACTATATGTTACACTACATAGTTACAGCTTTGAGAAAGGCTGTAACTATTACTTTTTGATGACTTGGATTTCGAAATAATGTGATATATAATAACATATCCAATTGTACGACACATATCACTGGTTATAAAACAGTCATACCTTTCTCCTTTCTGTCTCTTCAGATCGCCTTTATATTCGGCCCATTTGCTTTTCTCAGACAATTCTCCAGAAATAAAGTCTTGAAGATTTGGTCCATCTTCATCTGAGATGTCCTTTTTTCTATCATGATGTGAGGAGGACTTCACCACAGTTGAGAAGTTACTGGTGTACACCTTTACACAGGATAGGACCACTTGAATGTGTGACACATAGGTTTTCTACAGTGCGAACAGTACTCAGATTCTGGTAGCATTACTGATTTCAGTTTCACTGCTTATTTGGAAAGGACAACACAGGGAGTAGCGTTGTTCTTAACAATGGGAATACATACATTTCTATAAGCACTCTTGCGTAGTTCTCACTTAGGATGAACATTATACTACGTAGCTATAGATAGGCCTGTCACAATAAATCCATGCAATAAATACTATGGACTTAGGTCTACTGTCCAATAACTGATGGATGGAATAATTGTATTTCTGTTGTTTATTTTCTTAATACATGTTTAGAGACATATACCTGCTGTTATGCACTTTTAACACGTGGAATAAAGTAGTTTATCGCGATAATGTAAGTAATATTTCAACAAAATAAAAAATGAGGATGGACCGTAGAAAGGACCTATGTAGTATATAGCGTTACTGTATTTCAGATGCAATTTCTTGACATAAAGTTGATGATAAAAACAAAATAGCTAACATTTAGTCAAGCAAACTGTGAAAAACATGTAAAGAAACGAATCAGCTGAACAACTCTAAAATATACTTACGACAGGAGTGGCTCTTGAACTGCGTAACAAATTACAGGAGGAAAAACGGCCGAGAAAACAGCAGCTCTGTATAAACAACGCCATGTTAGCTAAATGTCATTGATCACGTGAATCTGCACATCGACTGATTTGGCCTCGTGGTGCGTTCAGGACACCAGCAAAAAGAGCGTTCAAATCATAGATATTTTTTTTGTGCCTCAATATTTACAATCTATGGTTTCACGTAGTATTTCAAGGTTCAAGGAAAATAGTTATGAACATTACGTTAACATGAAAATATACATAATTACATATACAGGTGAGAGGAACAACACAATCAATACAAAACAATGCGAAATAGTCAAATCAGGAGGTCTTGAAAATGTCTTCATCACAATCGTTTTTTTTATTAATTAAAGTGAGAAATAGTGACATCGTTTTGTTTTTGAATGAAACCAAATATACAAGAAAAGAGTCCTAACAAATGTTGGATTGATTAAAATGCCTGATGACGACACGTGCGTAACGTACTTTTACGTCATGACGCCCTTCTTTCCTCCTTTCCTCTACTAGCGGCGAGGTGAGGAGCGCTTCTGCTCTAATTCCTAAGTGTTATCTAACTTCATCCACCCCCCTGCAGAGTCTATTTCTTAGTTTACGTTAGTGTCATGCACATTAAAGAGTTATCCTTCATATATGCTTTATATTGAGACCGTTTGGCATGCGTATTGTGAGATTATGGACATGATCCCCAATCGTTTACTCCGTGGCCTTCTTTGTAGCTACATGCTAATATGTGCTGTGTGCAGAAGTTTTTACGTAGTACTCTATTCCATCCCAATTGTATTTCTTAATTCATTGTATAGACTTACTGAATGCCACTGCCACAGATAAACCCAAAAAAACCTCAATATTGGGGTCACGAGTTGAGATTTGGAAACCTTTCGATTGCGGCACGGTTCTAATGTATTTTATGTTTTAGAATGAAGACCATTCTCAGCAGTCAGGTTGTGGATATCCCTGATAATGGTAAGTGTGAGCAGCTGGAGGCCAGAGTGATGTTCGTGCTTTTCTAACTTCTTCTCTTGCAGTGGATATCAAGTTGAAGGGGCGGACAGTCACTGTCATAGGACCCCGTGGGAAGCTCGTCAGAGCGTTCAACCACATAAACCTGGAGCTCTCTCTTTTGGGCAAAACTCACAAAAAGGTACATTTGGTGCTAAAATGGCTGACCTAATGGACAATGCTTCATGTCTAGATATACTACATACATGTGTAGTAGTGTGTTCTGTTAAAAGTACTTTTGTAAGATAAAACATTGAGGCAGAATCTATAGCTCGTTATGAAAGAAGCACAATACAAAATCTTGGACAAATGACTTGCTGTTGAATGTCGAACACTCTATCACTTTCCTGGTGTGAAAAATTACTGTTTAGCAAGGCAGTGTATTTAGTGGTGTCTTTCTGCTGGTTACTAAACAATTGCAATACCCATACATTACTATAGCTCTAAGATTGTAACCAAGTGAAACCAGATAACATTCTCACGTTTAAAGTGTGTTCTTTTCCCCAACTTGCTGTGTATTTCCACCACACAAAGGGCTTTTAATGTAAACTTGTTGATTCCTAAGTGAAAGCCTGGCTGGTCAGGCAAATGGAAAACATGTCTTGAGGATTGGATGTTTTGTAGTTAAGATATCTTGTCTGTTTCAGCTGCGTGTGGAGAAATGGTGGGGTAACAGGAAGGAGCTGGCCACAGTTCGCACAATTTGCAGTCATGTCCAGAACATGATCAAGGGGGTTACTTTGGTAAGAAACTTATTCCGCTATAACTTTCCAGTTGGATTTGATGTTCTGGACATCAACTCTCAAGTTGTTTGTCTCTATAGGGTTTCCGCTATAAAATGCGTTCTGTCTACGCCCATTTCCCCATCAACGTAGTCATCCAGGAGGGTGGAACGATGGTGGAGATCAGAAACTTCTTGGGGGAGAAGTACATCCGCAGAGTCCAAATGAGGGGTGGTGAGTAAAAAATAATGGTTGTGTTCTGGTTAAACTAGATATTTTGGGAATTGCAGAGAACACGTTATCTGTAGCCCCTGGTCAGTTGTATTCAATTATGCGAGAACCAATTCTCTGCCTCTTTTGGAGGACTTGTGATAATACCATTGACGCGTCATGAGCAGTGAGCTGTTCAGTAATGATCTCCCATCTGTATTAAAAACTAAACCTTTTTTAAGTATTAAAATTGCAACTGTCACATTCCATACTCAGAGGAGCGACTGCTGTAAATGTAGCGTAATAATTAATGTATTTGTCAACCTTCTTTGTGGACTGGTTGACACTCATAGAAATGGCAGAGCCAATCCAACCTATTGCTTGGAGCTGTTAGTTAAAGGCTATACTCTGAGAAGTGGAGTGTTTAATTGCTCTAAATGTGATTTGTTTTTAGCGAACATTAGTTTCTTTACCTTTCAACTGTTCAAGCAGTAAAGTGCCCTTGGTCCCCACAAATGTTTTTTTTTTTTTATTTCTGATTTTATTAGTGTGCTATAAAGTTGAAGGGCGCCACTGTATTTCATACAATTTCTGGTAGCTCAATGGGTTACATTTCTGCTCAAATAAAAATATCAGATTTTCGGCACATCACTCAGCCCCAAATCATTGGCTAACTATATATAATTCAACACTTTTCTGATCAGAGGCTGTGGGCTGTTATGTTTTCAGATTCAGAGAACTTCATTAATCCCAAAAGACAATTACTTGTTCTGCAGAACACTCTAGACAAAGTTAACGCAGCAGGTTACAATAAAATGATTAAATAGCACAATTCCCAAAAGTAATATCTCAAAGTTCTATAGAAGTGGTCATAAAAGAATTGGAAACTTATTTGTTTTCCGCGCTGGAGCATGAAAATGACGTCTTGAAGATGTGACCAAGTTGGCGATCAGATGTTTGGGCTGAGCAGAATACGTCGCTTATCGAGCTATCTAATTCTCTCACAAAGAGTGAAGGGCTTTTTTTTTTATCTCCAGTGATTTTTAGAGCAAATACTTAGCAACTTTTTTGTCCTTCAGCGTCAGGATTTTGGAAAAATCAAACAACTTTTTGTGTTTAGTGTGTTAGTTGGATATTAGCAATATTTTGACTGGTTAATGCAGACCACAACTAATGACTTGATGGAACTTTCAGGTGTGATGTGCACCACATCTGCTGCCCAGAAGGATGAGATTGTTCTGGAGGGTAATGACATTGAGCTTGTGTCAAATTCAGGTGAGTAATTGAAGGGGGTTCATTCTTTTTGGCTGTAATCTTTTGTTTAAACTGCCTTTATTCTTATTACAGCTGCTCTGATCCAGCAAGCCACAACAGTAAAAAACAAGGATATCAGAAAATTCTTGGATGGTATTTACGTTTCTGAGAAGGGAACAGTTGATGAACCTGAACAATAAAAGACTGGACAAAAGAAAATGTGTCTGGCAAACCTGATATTCACCAATTCTCAATAAAAACCCATTTTACAATAGTTGAGCAACTTTTACTTTTGGTGAGACTTTATTTTTCCAGAAGGTTGAGGTAAAACTTAAAAGGCCTAACAATAACTAAAAGATGGCTTCTTGGTTATTACTAATTCATGCATTAGAAAAATTAAATGACTGTCATGGTATGGGCCATACCATGTAAAGATTAATTTCCATTCTGAACCTTTGCATTGCTTGTCTTGGAAAAAAAAAAAGGTTGTTGCTGGCCCAAAGCAATAGTTTACACACTGGATATTCTCAACCTGTGGACCTCTGGTAATTTTGAAATGTATGCCCCACCTGTGACCTTGCCTGCCAGACACTCTCCTTTCTGTTCAAAAGAAGAACCGTCTGGACACCTCTTCCTAGCCTATCATTTCACGATTTTACCCACATCGGTCCAATCACGCACCGAGAGGCGGGACTTCCTTTCACCTTTGAGTTGCTAATAACTCCTCGTATCTTTAAGTTTTTGTTACAAAATCGACAGCAGTCGTTTACATTTGCACTAGCTGACATGCCGCCATCCCTTGTTTTGTGTTTACTGAAACTGCTTGGGTGCCGCTAGTTGCTGCGTCATATCCTGTGTGTATCTAATTGGTTGATGCAGTCTGTCAACCACGCCCACCGGGAATTCGCTGAGATCAAGCTCGTTCCCAGACTATGTCTTTGAAAAAGCATATCGTTTGGCAGGCCAGGCAACCTGTGACCCACAGAATGGGTTCTATTAATCTCAGCTCTCCACTGATGTTTTTTAAATCGCTATAGAATAAGACTAAGATTCCTTCATACGACTCCAGTTGGACTATGTTCAATGTCTAGAACAGATAACACATCTACCATTCCAGCACAGACGGATAAACACATGCATTTGTTTGCAAATTAAATATTTTTAGATAAACATGAAATTTCATTGAACATTATTTTGCCAATTTTGGTCCTCCATGGAGCCTGGTCGTTTTTGCAAATTGCAGTGTCTCCGTCTAAACGGGGCCTGAGACTCCATGTTTGTCAAATAATTACATTTGAAAAAATTAGGCTGCAAACAATCTGTTTAAGATTTTTGTGCTACGTGTAGTTACTTTCATACTGAAGTTTTGAATACAACGCATATAGTTCAAACAAGCATTAAAGCTGGGGTACCTAACTTTCAAACCACTAGAATTTAAACTTTGTAGTAAAATCCTTCAAACAGTTTGATTCTATCATTAGTGTTGATATACATACACTTCTCAGACTTTCACATCTTTATACCAGCAAGAGCTCTTGCTAAAGTCAACATGCTGATTGGTTAACAACATTTTACTGTTACAAGACTTTCGGTGGGGACATGTAATATATAATGCAGCCAACAAGTCACCAGCTACTTTCGATTCCTGGCCATGATTAACAAAGGTATATTGAAAAAATAAGCCTTGTTACATGTGTGTTCACACACTAAGCATACACACCACCTGCTTAAAATCGAGTGATTAAATGGTCAAAGGGCTAAATAGGTTGATGTGAATATTTAACATAAAAAATGCATACAAAATCACAGGAAGGGTGGTTTCATGTGTTGAGGAAGCATACACCCAATCTTTTTAAAAAATCAATTAGCGCTATATAAAACCCGATGCATTATTATTATGACATATAAGGCATGAGCGCTAACTCAATATATACAGTCTATGCTCATGCTGTAGTTTGGAAAAAGGGGACGTATTTGTTTTTTGTTGACATTTCTTTTGATTGGGTGGTGACGTATCCTTACCGGTTGTGCGTCATCTGTAAGCGACACTTTGATTGTTACGTTCGCGCCAAGCAAATATTACCCTGACAACAAGCTGCTCTGAAGTAAAGAAATAAAAGTCTCATTACGATGGTAAGTACACACACCATGCATGTGCGAGTGTTCCGACATGCAAACGGCTCCACCGAGCTGTCCGGGCACATGTCCCACTCATCATGTGTACTTTTAAGTCTAGTCCATGTCCCTATATTAGCTCAAGCTAAGAGCATGCATAAAGCAATGACTTTGCATGGTTACTGTAGGATTTAAGTTGTCTTGAGTTATCTTAAAACGTTGAGCCATGCCCTGCACCCAGCTTAACAGTGGATATGGTGTTTAGTCCGAATTTCAGCAGTGTGTTTGTGACATGTACTGACAGCTCTCTGCCCACAGGACATCAGGCGCTTCTTCGCACCCACTGCTTCTAAAGCTGCGGTGCAAAAACCAGCGCCTGATGATAAAAATAACATCAAAGAGGAAAAGAGGACATATAGTGTATCTTCAGATGAGGAGGTGAAGAACAAAAAAAAGACAAAGGTTAATACACACATGATCACTCATATTATATTCTTTTCTATCAGCCAGATCATGGCTTTTTTTCTTTGTTGTTAATTCAGGTTTCAAAATCGGGGGAAAAGAAGAAAATTATTGAGAAAAAACGCAAGAAACATGCAGTAATAGCTTCGGGTGAGCACATTCAATTCGTACATACAACCTGACTGTAGGCCTACTGTTGGTAGTAATAATAATGTACTAGATGTATTTTGTTTTAGACTCTGAAGAAGAGAAATCTGTGAAGCCAAAGAAGTCTCCTAAAGTGAAACAGAAGGAAAAGCAACCTCTTAAAAAAGATCCAGTTCAATATGTTTCAGAAACAGGTGCATCATATTTAGTAACAAATGCTATTATTGTTACATACTTTAAGTACTTGTTCTGGTTATTATTACACAATACACTTTTAAATTAATCAAAAATTGAAGATAATGTCTAATTTGCAGATTCAGACGATGACAACTTTATTACCTTGAAGAAGGGATCTAAAGCTAAACAGAATGGACTTGGAGAAACAGAAAATATGTTAGTGACAAAAAAGGGCACCAAGTCTCCCATAGAGTCTTCAAATACAGTGAAAACAGTCCTGAAGTCTCCCGTCACCCCAAAAGCAGCTCCGCCTCCTAAACCTAAACAAACTCCAACTTCAGTCTTTGACTATTTCGGCAGCGGGGCCATTCAGCGTTCCGAGAAGAAGCTTGTGGCAAGTACTAAGAGAAAGACTGTGAGTATGTGTTTTTAATCACATTTCTGCGTTTTGACTTTTCTTTACCATACATTTTGGTTGTGTTGTGCAGCCTGTCGAGGATACGGGTGATCTTAGTGATGAGCTAATTGCAAGACAGCTCCAGATGGACGAGGACATGGAGGTTCTAACAATTTTGAATAATTTAAAAATTGAGTAGTCATTGCATTATTTTCACTAACATTACTTTGTCATTTTAAAACAGCTTGAAAGGCAGGTTCATGAGGATGAAGAGTTTGCCAGGACCCTTGCTATTTTGGATGAAGAACCATTGGCCAAAAAAGTAATTCACAATTAACAAAATTGCATTCCAACTGAGTTTGACCAAACATAACAGGGATTTATCATAACTAAAACTAAACAGTTTTATAGCCTGTTGCTCACATGCTGGTCAGGTGAAGCTTTTAAAACTTGTTTATATTGTTCAGGTAGAACTATTTTTGATGACAAGGAATCTGGTGTCTGTTTTAAATAACAGCCCTCAGAAAATATTATGGACCGAAGACTCAAAATCAACAAATATAGACTGAATATAGTGTTCAGCAAAACATAAATAAATGTGAGATTTTTTATTTTTTGGAAGAATCTACTTTAACGATGAGCAGAATTATGGATTCATGTTTCATTATTAGAAACAATACTGAGGTCCGCACCTCATGAACCTCGCTACAGCATTTACAGCCATTATTATGACCATTTATCTGTCTTCTGACATGAGTCCAAACAACACACCAACCTTTTTCTTTGTTGTCCCGGGGTGATGCACCATTTGAACATATGTGGAAAAAGTCTAGTAGTTATTTTTTTTTTTACCTTTATTTAACAAGGAAAGTCCCATTGAGATTAAGAATCTCTTTTTCAAGGGAGTCCTGGACAAAAGTTACACAGTTACATACAATTACAGATTATAAAAACAGTTGCATACAATTTCATAAAATTACGGATTAAAAAACATTTCAATGCGGATGTCTCAAGTGCTCTCAATCTGGATCTAAAAGCATTCAATGAAATAAATAGTTGTCAATACGATTCTCATCATCATGTGAATTTTTCCAGCCTCGTAAAAGTCCTGGTAATGGGAGCTCAACAAAAACTACAGAATCTGCTTCAGGTTCTAAAAGCAGTCCAATAAAGAGACCGATGGAAAGCTTGTCAGATGATGTTATTGCGCCGTCACCGAAGAAGAGCCCGGTCAAAACCAGCTCTAAACTTGCACTGATGAAGAAGAAAGATGACGAAAATTCAAAGAAGAAAACAATTGTTTCACCTCAAAAAATGATCTCGCCTAAAAAGGAAAGGGCGCCCTCTCCAATTCCAGAGAAAAAAACCTCTCGTATCATCTCTCCAAAGAAGACAGAGGTGAGAAGGTTTACATTTAGTATATATTGCTGCACCGACTTTTATCACATTTGCATTTTCTCCTAGAGTACATCTACAAGTCCAGAAGACCCTGACAAGAAGAAGGTCAATGCTTCAGCTTTCAGGAACTACCTTAACCGTGACGGCCCAAGGGCTCTAGGCTCAAAAGAAATCCCACAAGTAATAGAAAAAAAGAAGAAAAAAAAAGTTTCTTACTTTTAATTTGACACTGATGTGATGCACTTTGCAGGGAGCAGAGAATTGCCTGGAAGGTTTTGTGTTTGTGATAACAGGAGTACTAGAGTCCATGGAGAGGGATGACACTAAAGCACTTATTGAACGTTATGGGGGGAAGGTTACAGGCAACGTCAGTAAAAAGACGAACTACCTTGTCCAGGGGCGAGACAGCGGAGTTTCGAAGGTGGAAAAGGTTTGTAACTTTTGGAAAATGTTTATATATTGACCCAGTTACTGAACATATGGGATGTTACATTTTCAGGCTGAAAGCTTTGGTACAAAGATCTTGAATGAAGATGATTTGTTTGAACTCATCAGGACAAAGCCTGGGAAGAAGTCGAAGTATGAGATTGCTGCAGAGGCGGAGGTTTGTTGTGTCCAAAGAGTGAACGACAAGGTAATTGTTGATCTGATGTAAAGTTATAGTTTATTCTATATTACATTTTTAAAGGCTAAAGCATCCAAGACCAAGACTAGAACTCCACAAAATCAAGGAAAGAGTACTCCCAAATCCCAGAAAATTTCTCCTTCAAAAGGCAACTCCAGATCTCCTCAAACTCCCAGCCCGTCCAAAACCAGCCTGTCCCTGGCCCATAGTGCTCGGGTGGGCTCATCAGCAACACCGTCTGGAAGAGGTTCTGGCCAGACTGCTCGGAGAGACCTGGGTCTTTCATCATCTTCTCCCCAAGACTCTTCATTACCATCATTTTCGGGGCAAGGGGCCAGTTTGCTCTGGGTTGACAAGTATCGCCCGCAATCTCTCAAAACTGTCATCGGACAACAAGGTGACCAGAGTTGTGCCAACAAACTGAAGCGCTGGCTGCAAAACTGGCACAAAAGCCACAGTGGCTCAACAAAGCCAGCAGGTATCAGCTCATTAAGCAGACTGACATTAGGCACCATCACATATACTAAAACCATCACAAATAGGTTCATCAGGGCTCATTTCAAAAACCTTTTGCTTTGATCTTTTCAAGTGGCAAAGTTTGGCAAATTTGGAAGCGGAAAAGATGATGGCTCAACGTTTAAAGCAGCTCTCCTTTCTGGACCTCCAGGAGTGGGGAAGACAACCACAGCAGTCCTCGTTTGTGAGGTCAGTCCCATAGTGAGTTTTGTTCTTCATTGTGGCAATAGTAGGTAATCATTCTCTTGTTTTTTAGGAACTGGGCTACAGCTTTGTGGAGATGAATGCTAGCTGTACTCGTAGCAAAAACAGTCTGAAGGAAGTTGTTGCGGAGTCGCTCAATAACACAAGCATTGAAGGCTTTTATAAAGGTAAGTGAATTTTTATGATTTTTTGTACCAAAGAGTTGACAGACTGCTAACACAGCTTCTCTTTAGGCACGTCACAAAAAGTTAGCAGTAAGCATGTTCTCATAATGGATGAGATCGACGGCATGGCGGGAAATGAAGACCGCGGAGGCATACAGGTTGAGATGCTCGCTTTTGTGGAGGCAAATGAATATTGTTATGTCTTGCTAAAATCAAAGAACATTTTGTCTTTTTATCATTAGGAAATGATTGGCCTCATCAAAACGTCAAAGGTCCCTATAATTTGTATGTGCAATGATCGCAACCATCAAAAGATTCGTTCCCTTGCCAACTATTGTTTTGACCTGCGATTCCAAAGACCTCGAGTAGAACAGATTAAGGTAAATGCTCTTTTTTTGGAATGTTTCGACTTTACAGTGGCTGAGTGGTCTACACACCAGGCTATTCTTTGCATGTTTCTCCCTGTGAATGGTTGGGTCTACTTTGGATCTCAGAATAAATCTGGTGAGTGGTTGGTGGTGGTCGGAGGGTCCAGTGGCAGTCCTGCTTCAGTCAGAGAGAGTGAATAATACATGTTATTGTGAAGAATTAATTGTGACTGTTAAAAAGATCTAGGACTAAGATTTCCATTACTTCACTTTGGCAGGCAGCAATGATGTCTGTAGCTTTCAAAGAGGGAATAAAAATCCCTCCCCCGGCTCTCAACGAAATTATTCTTGCATCTAACCAGGATGTGCGACAGGTAAAAAGTTACATTAATTCTATTCACATGTTTTTCAGTTTTTGTCCAAGTTATTGTACCGTTTCATTTATTTTCTCAGGTACTTCACAACCTTAGCATGTGGTCGGCCAAGGACAAAGTGATGACTTATGATCAGTGCAAATCTGATGCAGCCAATGCCCGAAAGGACATGAAACTAGGTCCATTTGACGTCTGCAGAAAAGTTTTTACTTCTGGAGAAGAGACAGCTCATATGAGCTTAATCGACAAGTCAGACCTCTTCTTTCATGACTACTCTCTAGCTCCACTTTTTGTTCAGGAAAACTACCTCCATGTTCGCCCTGCTGCTGCAGCGTGAGTGTCTCATTGATATTTACATGTTTTTCACAAAAACAAACTAAACCTCCTGAAATGTTCCTTGTCCCTTTTTAGTGGTGATCTCAAATCTCATTTGGTGTTGATCAGTAAAACCGCTGACTCAATCTGTGACGGAGACCTTGTTGACAGAATGATACGTTCTCGACAGAATTGGTCACTGTTACCAACACAGGTAAAAATCGTATTCCGTTTTTATCAAACAAGTCCTTGGTCTTATACTTCTGTGCTTTAAGGCCATTTATGCCAGTGTGTTACCTGGAGAACTGATGCGAGGCTACATGGGTCAATTCCCCTCTTTTCCAAGCTGGCTCGGTAAAAACTCATCTACCAGTAAACATTCCCGCATTGTGCAAGAGCTCTCCTCTCACATGAGCTTAAAGTAAGTCTAGTCATCTCCCCCAAAATATAAAAAAAATTCAAATGTAAAGACATTTTTTCCCTCAGAACGCAGAGCAGCAAACAGTCCGTAAACCTGGATTATCTTCACTACTTGCGAACAACACTTTTAAACCCGCTTCAGAAGTACGGAGCAGAGGGTGCAGGACAAGCTGTGCAGCTCCTGGACGACTACCAGCTCGTCAGAGAAGATGTGGACAGCATCATGGAGATCAGCGTCTGGGGCGGTCAGCCTGATCCCTACTCCAAACTTGACTCAAAGGTCAGACTTCATAATGAAAAATAACATGTCCATTGAAAGTGTTTAGCAGAAATTGATCAATAATTCTAATGTTATGTAATGTGTTTGAGCAGCCCTTGACTTGTTTCCTTATGTTTACGCACAGGTGAAGGCAGCATTTACACGTGCATATAACAAAGAGGCCCACCTCACCCCGTACTCCTTGCAAGTGGTTAAAAAGGGCCGACGTGGAGGAGGAGGGGGGGAGGGGTTGCTTGGCGAGGACATGGAAACTGAAGTGCGAGAGTCAGAAGATGAGGGAGACAACCTCCAAACTGATGCTATGATCAAAGTCAGAGACATTTCAGATCAGAATTTATACAGTTTATCAAATACTAAAACCTTTTGTTTGCGGCCCACAGCAAAAGAAGGCTAAATCAACAAAGGAAACAAAGAACAAGAAGACTGAAGTTTCTGGTAAAGGCAAAGGAAAGGGCAAGATGAAAAAATAACTCCAATGACTTGAATCTTGGGGTCCTTTTCTTCTGCGCTTATCCAGCAGGTGGCAGCCAGATAAGCCACATGAGTCTGAATGGAGCAAATAATGATATACTACCACCACTTATCATGTCTATAGTCTATGCTCATTTGAACAGGCATTATTGTAGTTGGAGTGCCAAGTTGGATGTAAATAATGTGAAAATGCCATAAAGGATAGTTGCTTTTTTTACTTACTTGTTACCTCTGTAGATTGTCCTTGAGCTTGAGCGGATCAGTATTTGTACATTTATACTTTGCATCAATACAGAATGTTCTATCATTTGTTTGTGTTTCACTATGAAAACCAATTGCATCTAAAACAGTTTTAACTCCTTTTTAAAAAAAAAAAAAGTCAATAGTAAAATAACTTATACATTTTATTTTGTAGAATAAAAAAAGACAACTGTGATTGTGTGTAATCTAGATGAAACCATTTGACATTTACTTCATTGATCAGATTTTTCCATTGTGAGGTATTCAGAACAATCTGTGATCTTAGAAATCTGTTTGACATTCAAAGGCTCAGAGCACATGGGGCACACAGTCTCAGTCTCCAACAACCTGGTGAGACAAAATGACCAGAAATAATAGTTTTTGTCCAACATTAGGACTGGTAAACTCCCTCAATTGTTAACAATGACTGGAGAGCACAGTTACATTGAGATTCCTTTTTGCTTTTACTCACATGCTGAACTGGGAGTAGAGCGCCGGGAACTCGCAGTGGGGGCAAACAGACCAGTCCTCTTTTAGCATATGACGACCCTGAGGAACAAAGAATAGTTAAAATTGGTCTTTTGAACATTAGAATTAAGTATTTTAAGTAGTCTCACAGTTGCTATGCAATATGGCAAGTTGTTTTTGCAAGAAATGCAAAGAAGGTCATTCTGTGGCAATTGAAAGCCACAGAAAGGACAGGGTGTAGTTTCTTCTTCCAGCTCTGATGTATCTGGACGTCTGGATTCAAGATAATTGAAATATTAAAAGGAAAGGATGTTTGTCTTGCTGCTGAAAGGTTACACTCACCGAACCATGGCCTCTATCTTCTTCCGATACTTTGGGTCAATGTTGTTGCGGTACTCAGGTCTCATTAACATTGCAGCAAAGCTAAAAGCTGAATTCCTTAATCCAGCTCGGTGACACTCAATAACTGCAGACGTCAGAATGGGAACAACATCTGCACACAGGAATAATTAATCCAGGGTTTTCTGTGAGGTGAAAAACTATTTTATTATCCTTACGTGCTGGGAACTTGCTAATATTATTACTGACACGTATGAGCATGCGGGCCCCTTTGAGATGGTCTCCTCTTTTTACATGTACCTAATGGACAGTTCACACTCAGGTTAATGTTCTATAAAATAAGTAATAAGACAAGTATGAACAGTAATGACCTTAACCAGGAGGTAGGAGTGAAGGATCATTAGGTTGGTTGCCATCTCAAACGGTATCTTTATTTTCTGAGCTTGCAGCTCGGTATACATACTAAAAAGTACATCATGGGCATTTCGATAGTTTCCTGAAAAGAACACATTGCATGGTTTTAACTGTGAATAAAGCCAGATGAATAAAGATATGGGTCATACAGTACCTGCTGACTGCTCCTCTCGAGCGATGATAATGGCAGTGCGAGCAGCCTCCCTGTACTGCTGCAAAGCCATGTAGAGACGAAAAAGGTACTTGGCATCCTGTAGTGAAGACAAAAGCATGGTTTCAGTGAGTGGAAAGGCTTGTTTAAGTTATGGGACAATATATGAAGACAAACCAACAACATGATTTCAAGTACCACAATTAGCATACCCTGGGCACGCCGTCGCTCTCTCCCATCAGGTAATCAATCAGCTGTGTTGTCAGTGATTGGTCTTTTGCTTGACCCACCTGAAACCCAGCAATAAAAATATGGTTCCTTTTAAATGTTTTTTTACTTTATAACACCTCTTACAGTCTCGATAGCCATTTCCACTGCCAGATTGTCTTCGGTGTTTGGACACTTGAGAAAATGCTTTAGAGCCTGATACATACAATAAGTTAAATTGTTAATCAGTTAATTGAAGGATAAAACCAAAGATTATGTGACTTTAGTCTCCTACCCTGCTGTATTGCCCACACTTTTGAAAGAACTTTCCAGCCAACAGGTGTTTCTTTTCCCCCTCGAAATAGAGAGCGATGCTTTGGTAGTCCTCCTGCGTTGCTTCAGAGCCTGACCCAACAGAAAAGGTTTAATGGTAACCAATGATCACTATGATGTAATATATGTAGGTAATTAAAGGCGGACCAATGATATCTGCATAGACCTCCATCTGCCCATGCTGCTGTGCCAACTGAAACGCTTCATCATTACACTGGGAAAGTACAAGGAAATGAATAGCTGAGGCGTAGTCATTCAATCGCAGGAAAAACCTGGGAATAACATTTGAGAGGTTATTACCACAGTGTGAACAGACTTCAACTCAAAAATGTACTCTTAAATTACCTGGCCACCATTTTAGCCCCATCAATACTCTGTGTCTCTCGCACGACACGAACAGCATCCTCAGGATTGTTCAGATGATCCAGAAGCACACGGATCACATTGTCCCAGTCTTTGGCGCTCTCAAAAGCTTGAGCCGCCTCTTTGTACCTAAGTTTGAACATTGCTTTTTAAAGCTTGATTTCCTTTGATAATTACTTACAGAATAGATCAATCAATGTATAAAAACAGTAGCACTCACTTGCCGTCTGCCTCCTTTGCTTTGGCATATTGCAAGTGGATTTTTGGAGAAGATACATTTGGAAGTAACTCTCCCACTTTAGTCCTAAGGAAAAAAAATCCACATAAAGTTATTGTTTCATATTATGTAATCATATTTATTCTTTTCTTACCAGTTCTTACACCGGATATAAACAGATGCAGCCTTATCATAATATTGTCCTTTTTCATAGAGCTGAGCAGCCTCTGCAAATTGCTGCGGTGACAAAACAGATGAATATCTAGCAATAGAACAGTCAGCATTTTGTAAATGCACAGATGCTACCTTCATACTCTCCAGGATGGCGCCACACTCTTTCTTCAGGACTCGACTTGGATGCTGCACAGCTTGAGCAGAGCCTCTCCGAATGTCTCCCATCCTGATGGACATTCTGGCAACTCCTGCCTGACACACCTCGTCATGCTCCTGAAACACCAGACAACTTTTACTTTAGGTTTGGGAAATGCTTCAATGTAGATTGATCAATTCCTACTTTATCAGTGTGCGTCATTCCTTTCTCATAATGTGCCAGAGCATTCACATAGTCACCACTAGAGAAAAAAACAATGGATTCATGAAAAAAATTGACTTTCAGAAAATATGCACTCACATAAACTCAAGATGAACTGCATATTCCTTGGAAATAAAAGGGATCTGATCTTCTGCTAATCTCTTGGCCAACAACAGGGCGCTGTCCCAGTGCAGCAGGTCCCTCCTCATCTGGTCCACAACAATAAATACACCGTTACAGCTTGAGCACTATGTCAAGTCTAAGTGAATACATGATGCTTACCTCCAGGGCAGCATTTGGGCAGCTTGAGGAAAGGTAAAGATCTTGTGCCTGGTTAAAGTCACCCAGAAACATCGCCAAATGTCCTGCTACTAAATTTCTGTCCTCAATACCCTGTAGTGAGGGAAAAATATACTCAAACTTGTGATTGTGATTATAATGATGATAATGGTTGCAATGTGTTGTACCTGAATGCTCATCAGCGACATCACCATGCCAACATTGGAGTTCATTCGATAAACCTGAATGGCTAGTTCAATCTCCATGTGCACCAGGCACGCTTTACCCACATCATCAAAATCCTTCTCACTGCCAGAGGTCCTGCACAGTTCTCGAGCATCAGAAAACCTAGGGTGTAAACGCACACTGTATAAACACGACCATGCATTCCAACTACAAATTTATGAATTAACTGAAACCTTTTAAGCATCAGTGCATCCTTCAAATGCGACGTAATGTGATCTGATGAAGTTGAATCCTTTTTAACAGAGCGTTTTAGGAAAGCGTGTGTATTCAAGCTCACATTGCTGGTTTTTCCACTGGCTGTTTGACAAGTCAGTTCTCCATTGTATAAGAGCAAAGGATTCTGGGAAAACAGAAGAGGAGTGCTGCCCACCAAAACCACCCTTGGACCTAACCCATAACAACAATATTTTAAAGATCAAGATATCAAATAGGATGTATAAGCTGAACGTATGAATATACCGTATATAGTGTTTTTATGCAGGGCGTATGTGTAGACTTTGTCTTCGTCATACGCCACAAACACGCCTCGGTCCGCATGCCAGTTGTCCCAGAGCACCCCCGTGATGGTGGGTGAGAAGTTAGGCAGCTCAATGCAGGATTCTGTAGCCTAGAGAACACATATTTCATGAAAGAACTTAGTGTGAGGGATCTACAATCTAGTGTTGATAGCTGTAATTTGTACATACATTAGAAGGAGAGAGCAAAAAGCCACTGTTCTTGTCATCAATAAAAACTATTTGCGATCCATTCAGATCTGGAAACAGTTTCATCACACCAACAGGGTGATTGTAACTGTACACATTTTCCCAGTCCTCCACCAGGAAACACATAATAAGACCTGACTGAAAGAAAAAACACATTATATAAGTTATACAACAGTTGTGCTTGAAACAATCAAACATTTTTGGCAATATTCTGTTTTCTATTTTCAAATTAAAAAGGCAACAGAAACTACTCCATTGACCCCGATAAGACGTTTCCATCTCCCAGTTCTCAAATAATGTATTTTCCCCTTTAGCATTTAACAGATTGGATTCTTTTTTAGAAGTTGTGAATGAGGCTCTTTATCCTCTCTGGTGGTAGAGCTTCCCCCTCTTTCTGGCTATAAACCGCCAGTTCTTGTAAATTCCTGGACCACTTTGCATGAACTGAACGTTGAGCCCCATAAGCAGGTCAAATGTTATAACTTTAGAATACACACATCCACTATCAATAAGTGGAAGTGTGTTTATGGAGATTGTCCCATTCCAAACAAATATAATTCCTGCTTGGGCCTGTAATTGTATGGTATAGACGCTATAAATTATTTGTTAATGTTAAAACATGTTTGGCCTTACACTTGTTCCATAATAGAGGAAGTCGTTGGTCAGACCATGACATAAAATCCGTCCTTTTTGGTCATCATCTGGAAACAACTTCATCTGCCTCTTCTCCTCCTGGTCTCTGCCTTCAATCTGCACAAACAGAAGCCTCTTTAATTAATAGTACATTCAATCAATGAAGTGTCTATGAGGATTTCCTCACCATGTGCAGCTGAACCTTTCCCTCAAACAGAGCAGCTGCATATTCTCCATTAAGACACATACTGGCAATTGTGCCGAGGTATTCCACATCCTTTTTATAACCTGGGAAAGAGTTTTAGTTAATTTAGTAATCGAGTTTCAAAGACCATCAACGTTTTATAACAGTAATGTCAGAGACCAGGCATTTGATCTTCAATAGCATAAAACCAGGCTCTGTTATTCATTCCCACTGCCACATGGTATGGGCCGACTGCTATAAATGTTGGCTCCACTTCCACTTCAAAAGTCACAGGACGCTCCTGATAAGACAGTAGAGATGGTTCAATATAGACACATTCCAATAAATAGGAAGTGTGAATATACATTACATGAGTTACATCTGTTTCTTAATGCACGAACAGTAATGTTTTTCTATATATGTACATTTTCTCACCCCTTCCACCTGGTTGAACACTGTAACCTCTAACAAAGAGGTAAGAAAAGCTATTCTTGATCCAAAGCTGCCCCCCAGAATGGGCAGCTTGGTAAGATATACATAAAGTGTTCCTTTTTGAGTGGAAACTGCCAGTAGTTGACCATCATCTGTCCAACTAAGCTGGTCCAGTCCTGAATAACAAGAATGCAGAATAAGTAAAAACACAATATCCATATTATTAATAAAAAAAAAACCTTTGGTTTCATCTTCCAGTTGAAGGAGGTGGCTAATATCTTTAAGATCAGAAAGCTCATGGATCTTTATTCTGAAACAATAATACAGTTAATTAAAATATTTACATAACTTGATTGTTATGAACTATATACATACGCGTTGTCCCCACAAGAAGCTGCTTTATTTAAAGCTGAAGATATGGCCACACTGGTGAGACTTTCTTTATGATTATGTGCCTGGTAAATTTCGTGGCCTATTTCTTTGATGTGGGTCGAAATCACCACAAAATATCCATGGGAAAAACCAATAAGGATGTACCCATCACCATACCTGCATGTAACAAAGATTACAACTATGGAATCGCCAATTTTGATCTGTGTAAAGTACGTACCAGCGATAAGATACAATATGTCCATAATGGCGCTGGAAAGCCAAATCTATCCTGTCCTCTGGGTCATTAATGTTGAACAGAACAAGTATTTTCTTGTCCACAGAGACGCTTACCTAAAGAAAAAACAAGCATGTCATTTATATAAACAACTCTACTGGAAAGTGAAAATAATAACTTACAGTACTTTCTCCATGCATGGATCTTTCATCCGTTTTTTTAACAGAAAAGTAAATTTCTGCTGGTTCACCACGTAAATTTGTCTAAAACATAAAATGTTGCAGAATAATAGAAATGTACATTGAATTACATTTGTATTTTCAAGTTTTGCAAATAGACAACTGTACTTGTCGAATGGTGTCACCATCAGCAGTACTGATTGAAAGAGTGTTGTCTTCACTTCCAAGAGCAAGAAGATTCTGAGAACTCCAGCAACCACATATTATTTTTTTGGTATGTTTACCTAAAATATAGTAAAACAGAAACATTTCAGGCATGCAAGCAAAAACATATCATAGATGTGTACATATGCAATAATTACCAAGTACAGGAACCTTGCGTGATGTCTGTGGATTATATATCAATAGATTTCCTTTGGCCGTTCCAATGGCCAAATGAGTAGTTGTTTTTGACCACAAAATGAGGGACATTTGATCCCTAAAAGTAAACAATACTATATAAACATACTTTTTCTAAATAGAGGTGAAGTTGCATAAAAAATATTTCATTCGGTACTTCATTCCGCTCTCTATTTGAGATGTTTTATTGACACTAGCGTCCCAAAGATGAACCGCGCTGGATTTCGCAGCTATCACCGCAAGCGTGTCCCCATCTTTGTCCCAGTCCATCCCAACACAGCGGCTGCAGAGACGAACGACAGTCAGAAAGAGCAGAGTTTAACTGTATTTAAGTTTGTGCACTTACCCTGGTAGACTAAGCTCTGTCCACTTGTGTCCATGGCGATCAAATATTTTCACGGTGCTATCATGTCTACTTGATACAGAGTGTTACAAATTACTGAATAAAGTTCTAAAATAAAATGTATACTTTAAAAAGCCAACTCACCCGGCGACAGCAATGTAATTGCCAAGACTTTTCTGCCACCTATAGAGTATGTTGGATCCTGTCCAGGCTTTATCCTCAAGCACGAAAACACGCTAAAGCACATGAATAGATTGAAGGACCTGTCAACTTTTAGCAGTAGTCGGGAGTACATTTGTTAAGTTATGTTAGCAAACAATTAGCTGCCATACACTCGCGCCTTTGTATTTCATAATTCGTGCTAAAGTGTAACCTTCATGTAGTGAAATGATGTAAATGCTCGTTTACCATGAGAGCACAAAACATACATACTTTATCGTACGGGGATATTAGCAAACACTTTAGCAATTTCCTAGCATTGGTGTTAGCTTTAGCCAAGAAGAATATCGGTAAATCCACCGACAGGTTTAAACATATACCCTTAACATGAAAGAAAGCAGCGTGTTCTCGTCTCACTAACCTTCATTGTTCTTACATTAATTTTCTAAAAATCAAATGAAATTCAAAGCATCTTATTTCGTTCCTCCCATAATGCTTCACTTCAAGCGTCTGCCGAAGCCCTCTGAAGTCATGGCAACAGCATTGGCAACCGCGTAGAAGCCATGGGCTGGGCTGCGTTATGTGCACTGCATATAAAATTACAAAGTAAAACATACTTTGATAAAAAAAAATAATTACCCCTCGTAATAATGTGGTATTGAACCATATGACTCAATATATTGACAGGAAAATATCATTTATAGACTATTACTTTCTACAAACATTTCAAAAGTAGTATCTAGAATCAGCTTGATGGCAATAATTGTTCGTGCACCCTCTATATCAGAGGTTATCATTCGTTCATAATAAACATTATGAAAGCAGGTGGCTTTTGTTACTTACTATTTGTACCACATCTGTCTATCACTCAGTCTTACCTTCACATCATTCATTCACAACTTTCATACTGTTCGATGTTTTGGGTGGTGGGAGAAACATGCAAACTCCACAACCTTCTGGCTGTGAGGCCTCTATGATGGGATGGCTTAGGACCGGTATTCTATCATTCATTCATATCACAACCAGCAGCAGCAATACTGCAACCAACAATACAGTACAATGCCACAACCAACAAATAAAGATTAATTTGCAAGGCAATTTTCAACAGTAATCTGCTTTAATGAAACATGGTACATGTTTATGAAAACAATGCCAATATATGCTTTAAAAACTTAATCTGTCAGAGATAGATGCTTCAATTAGGAAAAATCCATATGCACTGGGTGTACAAAAGTGTATGGTAATGGAGTATATGTACATTAGAAGGCATTGCAAGTGTATGTTAAAAAAAGGTGTGTAACAGCCTTTTACATATGATTTCGATCAGTATGGTACAAAACATATTAGCTTGTCAGAAACAGAACATTTTGGGCATAAAAGGACTCTCAGATGAAAGTCACATTTTCCAGTTTTCAAAAACGATTTTCAGACTTTTATCTGTATAGTCATGTAGAAATCAAAACAAGATCGTATTTACAAAAGGCATATACAGTATTATTTTAGGTCCCATAAAAACCTAAACTGCCGTTTGTGTGCGTGAGGGCTATGATCAATTAGACAGGATGGCCTTCTGTTCAGAGTAAGGGGCTAAACAGAAATAACCCTGTATTCTCACATAACATCATCAGAGTGTGTAGAGAGCATGTCAGATTTGGTCTTAAAACCAGAAGATTAAATAAATATACAATAAATATACAGTAGCTATATCGATGGTTCTTCATCGTGATGTATGTGTCAGAGTTTGACTGTCACCACACAGACACCAGCTCTCCCGAGACAAAGAGGGGCCACCTGAAAAAGGAAAACAGAAATTGTCATAACTAACTAACAAAAAAGCTTAATTAAGTGAGTAACTCTGAGGACAGTTAGTGAAGAATGAGTTACGAGCTCATTTGTGTGTGATGACATGGAACATACCTGCGTCCATTCGTTTGTCTGAGGATCATAAGCTTCCACAGTATTTAGGTAAACCTGTCCATCGTAGCCACCAACAGCAAAGAGCCGGTCTCCAAGGAGACATACACCAACTGCGTCTCTGCTGATGCTCATAGGGGCCACAGCCGTCCACATATCAGTTTGAGGATCATACCTGTTACCATTATGTTACCACATAAAGGGATCTTAGTTAAATCTGTCTTTTATTCTTTTATTAATTATTTATTTATGATTGTATGTCATCTGTCATTATCACATATATGATGTACACCAGGGGTCTCCAACCTTTTTAAATAGCAAAGAGCTACTCCTCATCTATGTAAACACATGTTATATATTCCATAATATTGTATAACCCTATATTTATACTTATAATAGATGTGTAATGACTCAAAAGTGAATCATTCACGATCATTTGCTAAATTCTAAATCCTTTGGGGAGCTACCTGAAAGATGCTGGTGAGCTACTGGTAGCTCCCGAGCTACAGGTTGGAGACCCCTGATGTACAATATACTTTCAAAAAGCCATACTCCTTCAATAGATGAGAATGTACCTTTCTACACAGTCACTGAGTCTTGAGGCCAAAGATGAAGCAGGAGCATCATGGCCACCTATGGCATAAAGAAAACCGTGCCATGTGGCCACGCCCACTCCCCCTCGCCGTTTAGCCATGGGTGCACAAGTAGTCCACCTACAAAACAGAGTTATTATATAAAAGGCCCTAACATAATATTAGCTTTTTGATATTTTTGGTAAAAACTTGGGTTCTTTTTTTCCTGACCTATTGGTGTGAGGGTCAAAGCATTCAACTGAGCGCAGACAGGACGAACCGTCACGACCACCCACTGCATACAACCTACAATACATCACAGCAAAGTATCATCTCAAAGACCATATATTTCTTCAGGGACATTTAACTTGATTGAACAAATGTGTAAAGGGTAAATTCAAAAGGAAGAATGAGGTGCTAATATATCTAAAGACAAAGAAAATAGCTCATGTACTTACTTGCCATTCAGAACTGCTACCCCTACAGTACTCCGGGGAGTAGACATACTTGCAACAAAGCTCCATTGTCGAGCTTGAGGATCCCATCTGACAAAAGGAAAAATTTATGAGATTTTCAGTGTACTTTAGTCAGAGACTAGTCTTACCTCTCCACTGTGCTCAAGTAGCTCCAGCCATCATGACCTCCAATAGCATACAGGGGGCCTTCTAAGACAGCTACACCTATAATACAAAAACAGATAAATCGATCTAATAGGTCATTACGTTAGATCAGAGAAGGAGCACAGGCTGGCAAACAGTCCAATATGGACTGAAAGAGAATCCAACAATAAACAAGAGGAGAAGCCACAGTTCCTGGCACCTCCCTTAATGTTTGAGCCAGAGAGCTCAGGACATCAGCTCAATTTTTGGTAAATGAGAAAAGATAAGTTCTGAGCTTGTTTTGAGCAGGCTGCAGTTCACCTCTCCAGAATCTTAATATTTAAAGAAATAAAATAAATGAAAGCTATAGAATTCATAGAATTAAAGCTCGGTGACTGAGGTTTCCTTTGACTGGTGATTATCTATTTCTCCACAGGGTAAATGGCAGAAAAATAAGGCAGAGGTGTAACTGCAATTGATTTTTGCTTATATAATGTGCATAGAATAATACAAAAAACAAATTGTGCAAATTTGAGAAAATCTACCCATTATATCATAAAATACAATATTTCGCCACAATGGCTCATGTTCATGTTTAAATGCATTTGTTTTATTCCATTTTCCATGCCGTACTGCAGGTTATAATTTGAGTGATTGATGCATGGCTGTAAATACATTATGAATTAAAACAAAAGTGTTTAGGTTTAGGTTTTTCTCATGTAGTTTGTCTCTGTTTCCCATAGGGGATCATTCCACAGAGGCTCACCTAAGCCGTGTCTGTGAGTGGACATCGGAGGCATGACGCTCCACGTCTTGCTGTGAGGGTTGTAGCACTCTACAGTGTTAAGAGTCTTGAGTCCGTCTCGACCCCCGACCACATACAGCCGACCGTCCAACACAGCGACGCCAAACTGCAGTCTGCGACCACTCATAGTGGCGACTTGTCTCCACGTGTTCCTCCGCAGACAGTACTGCTCAATGCTTGTTGCACCTGAACATCAAGAGCAAATTCTTAAAATCAGTTATAAGAATATACAAAGGATTAAAGAGAAATGCAGTCAATGTAACCTTTTGTGGCATCCATGCCCCCCACTGCAAACATAGCCCCGACAGTGGCTTTGCGAGGGCGAGTTCTGGAGCTTTGCAGCAAAGGTCTTCTCTGAGGTAGGAGGTGATACTTCATCCCTTCCATCAACAAACGCTGACTCTCCACGCTGTCCCGGAGCAGAGGGTTTGACTCCAAATCTGCCAAAAACTGCGAAACACACACAGATGTAAACAGTCACTCACTCTCATACTCGTCACAGGGATGAAAACTATTCCATTTGCTATTCTCCTATGTAAGGCACACGTTGAGTGCCAAAAAAGCACTACAGTGTTCCCCATTACAGGTTATAGCAGTGTTACCTTTATCTCCCGTGTGTCTGTCTGTTAAACATATGTACACTGTCTACAGTGGTAGTGGTTGAGCCTCACCAGACCTCATGGCTTATTTGAAGAAATTATAAAAAATATGATATCTTGGGTATTCTGGTTTGAATCCTGGTCGGAACAGAGCCTTTCTGAATGGAGTTTGCATGTTCTGCAAAGGTTTTCTCTGATTTTCAAATACATAAGTAATTCTAAAACAAATAAATAGAATAAAGAATAACTTCTTAAAGGGGGTACTGGTTAAAAAGTATGCCCACAATCATATGGATCACCTTGTCTATATTATGCAACAGCCTTAGACCTGCCTGCCTCATAATAAACAAAGTGAAACCAACCAAACAGCAGAAGCTTCTTTAAGCTTTGAGCTACTCTCCATAACATGTGTCATAAACTAATGCATTGTGGGGAATGCATTGTGGAGTATTCTGTTGCTTATAATGGAAGACATTAGTCAAATATAAAAGGAAAGAATAATAACTTGAAATAAGCTGAAAAGTTAACAGAGATATCACATTCTCATAGCATCTAAACAGTTTGCAGAGGAAAGTGCTCATTGCAAATTCACATTACCAGACTAACACTCCAGCAGCCGAGGAGGAAGGGAGGAGGAAGAGAGACTGCTGCTCACACCCAACTACACAAACGAGACACACTGGCTCATCTGAGACGCTAATGCTGTCAATTTATGGTTAATGTGATGACTTTAATTGTCTAACAAAGAGAGACGAATAGGAGCCAGCTTGAAGTGGATGGATAAAGTGAGCTCACAGGAAAGAGGATGCTTCTTTCTTGTAAGACATTTACTTTCCTTTGAGACATTTGTAGTGAGTTTGCTTGATGATTAATTTGACAATTATTACTGCATTTATTCAACAGAGGCCAGTGATTTCGTGCATATTTTGAAATAAGTTATCATTATTTTTACAGACCAAGGACTAAGTAAAACGCAGTGGGTCACGTGATCATGTTTAGTGGGTCATAAGCCTTTCCTGGGAAACATTTTAAAATATGTACGTTGCAGAAAAGTAATCTAGAAAAAAAAATGCCCTTGATTGAAGAAATTATTATTAAGAAATGCATCCATAATGTAAGTTTGTATACTCAAAGTAAGCTAAAATGCTAAGTAAAAACTAAAATGTAAAATGTAAGATAAACGTATGTACTACACTAAACTATACTTACTATTTATCATCATTTAGCTTATAAAACAACATACAGTATTTTGCATTATTTCTATACTAAATTCAGTTCTTATGTGGACTGCGAATTGACTTTATATGTTTATGGTGGGTCCTGACACCATTACAGTTGAGAATGAGTACAATAGAGTGACCCTGTTATGTGTGAAACAGAAAAAGCAGATGGTATAATGTGATATAGCTATTACGTGGCTCACTTGTGGCTGAAGCAGAGGCAGCCGGATGTTGGCCAGCAGAGAGGAGAGCTGGCGCTGTCGGCTAGAGCTGTCATGACGGACCCAGGTCAGAAGTGAGTTCACCACAGTCTCCTCGTCAGGCACGTTTATGTCATCTGAAGTAAGAAGTCTCGCCATCTCCTCCACAGGCAGCAGCAGAAACTCCTGCCCCCCCACCACCTCCAAAAAGTGTTCCTGTCAGAACCGGGAGCACGGTGAAAAGAGAGAAACAGGGTACCATTAGGCTAAAATGACCAGAGAATCAATAATCATTACCTGGACATCATTACCCCCTCTCCCACTACCAGACAGACACGAGCAATTACATTCCGAAATCTGAAGTCTACAAGTCCCATCTCTCTCTCCTCCTCCATATCCCATGCCCTATCCAGCTCTTCCCTTCCCTCAGATCCATCTGCCACTGATCTAGTCAATTTTTACAACCACAGACTCCAAATAGCCCCCATGAAAACCGCCTCAGTCTCCTTCTCCACCTTGGTACACCCCAGATCTTGGTACACCCCAGATCTCAACAATCTCAAAAAACAAAGAAGACAACTTGAACAGCTCCATGAAAAAATCTGGTCTCACTGTCCATGCCCAAGCATACAAACACACCAAAACTACATACAACTCTGCTCTCAAAATTGCCCGATCCAATTTCTATTCTCGCCACCGACTCTGGTTCCATTTCCATCCTTCTCCTCGTTGACCGTTTGACACTTTAGACCATTCCATCCTCCTCCACCAACTACAATCAATTAGCAATTCCGGGACAGCACTCTACTCCTGGTTCTCCTCCTACCTCTCCGACCATCACCACACGTCTCTGTCAACACTTCCCCCGTCACCCACGGTGTCCCCCAAGGTTCCGTGCTCGGCCCTCTCTTCTCAACCATCTACAAGCTTCCCCTCGGCCAGATCATCCACCACCATGGACTCCTCTTTTGCTGTTAAACCGCGGACACTCAACTCTACATCTCCACCAAACCCATCACCCTCTCCACCATCACCAATTGCATCTCCGACATTAAGATGGGCAATGACTTTCTTAATCTCAACAGCAATAAAACAGAACTCCTCATCATCTGCCCCAAATCTCCCCTGCCAAAAACTGCAATACATCCAAGAGTCCTCACCCACACCCGGTTCAGAGAACACATCACCCCCGTCCTACAGCAGCTCCACTGGCTCCCCGTTCAATATCACATAAAGTACAAGCTCCTGCTCCTCATCTACAAGTCCCTCCATAATCTGGCCCCGCCCTACCTCTCTGAGCTCCAGCAACAACACCAACCCACCCGCCGCCTTTACTCAGCACTCCCATCACCCACACTAACCGCTGGATCTTTGGATCTTTTCTATTGCCGCCCCAACCCTCTGGGACTCACTCCCACTGCCCATTAGAAACTCTGACTAACTACCAAACTTTAAATCAGTACCCAAAACCCATAACACTTATGATGGTGGAATAAGAAGGGAAGCAAATGACAGCTTCAGAGGTCAGACAATGATGGTTTAAGAAAAGATCGATAAAAATTATGGATTTACTTCCATTTTAGTTTAAACCAATATCTTAAATGAACAAATTTGGGTCACAAACGTCCAATTTCCCATCACAAATATTATACACAGCTTGAAAAATATCATGATTGTCATGTTTACGGCCACAAACACGCAAATGGTTTTTACATTGTTTTGGATTTTCTTTTCCTGAAAGACCACAACAAAGTATCAAACAACTGTGAAATGCAATCTGTAGAAACTGTCCACAAACACTCTCAAAAACAGTAATCTGAAAGAGCTTGAGTTATTTTTTAGATGTTTTATACATTCTGATACTGTAAAAAAACACACATCTTACCATGGTATAGTTATGTGCAGCCTTGTGGAGGTCGTGACAGCCCTGAGCGTCAGCATAGGAGCGGATCCCCAGACAGTTGGATGGATGGAGCTGCTTCATGAGGAAAGAGCAGCAGGCCTGAACCACAGACGACAACTGCAGCAAACACGAGGCCGACAAGAGCGATTCAATCGTGTCCTCCCGGAGTTCAAGACGCCCTGCAAGCCACAGAAGAAAACCGTGTCAAGGTGTATTCATTTAGTGTTATGCGTTTATTCGCTAGTAAGGTGTATAAGTAATTCAATAACAAACAGGTATATCTAATAGGTGGCGATGTTCTAGAATTGTATTTGAGTTGGACGGCATGTGCCAATATATCTTTATGGCAAGAAGCAAATCCACCATATTATTCTTTTGTGTGAAAGTCCATTCGACAACACACGATGCATGTTTTTGAATATTGTCACCGGTTCTAAACACATTTATGAGAAAAAAAATAGTCTTTATTTGTTATAATGTTGAAATTTGGCTTACAGCTTTTAAAAAACCCAAATAAAACATCAGCAAATAGACTATTTTGATTAATTGTAAGCAAAATAAGTTAAAGTTATCATGAAAATCAATTAACAATATGTAATATGTGATTTTGAATGAATTGAGTCTATATCATATATAACTTTCACCTGTACTTTGTGACTGTTTGTGTTTCATGGTTTGACCCAGAAATGTTAATAGTCCTGACTTTTCACAGTTACCATAGTTACCAGGAAAGATTTCTATTCAGCTACCCTTACTGCAGTTTTAAACTATATTCTCTTTGGAATATTGTGATGTCACATTGATACAAGCTATTATGCTATTATTGTGTTGTATTGGTTCACCTGTGTAAGCATATTGCACCAGGACCCACAATGCATCTGGGTCCACCCCCTCCAGCTTCACCTCATCCTGTTTGGCCTCCCGCACGTCACTGGTGAACATCGCAGCAAAGTAGTCAGAGACGGACGAAAGCACGAGTCTGCAAAAAGACAGCCAGTCGCATATGATGGACAGGGTTAGTCTGCGGAGGTCCATTCTGCTGACGAGACCGTGCACATCTGTACATAATGTTTGCACTCCGATTAAGAAAAGATGGTGGTTTAACAGTCAAATCGAAGGGAGTATAGAGACTTCACCCCTCTAAAATATAAATTATAGTTGAACACTAACAAAGCCCTTGCTTCATCCTACAGGAAGATTTAGAACCCAGATTTCCATGTGAATGATAACCTGAGCTAAATAGAGGTCTATTCTTTAAATAGTCAAATCATTTTTGTGTACATAGTTTTCCTCCACTGCACAGCTTGATTGCTGGTAACTGAGATGGAATTCCTGAGCGAGATATCATGATCTACAATTTCAAGGTAGAATAATGAATATAAAGCAACCAAACTGGGATATCATAGAGTTTTTGAAAAATTGTGTTATTGAATTATTCAGTTGTTAGTGCTTCGAAAGTCTTAAAAATTATCTTCTTTGTTATGTCAAGTAAAATACCAGTCAATGTGTGGTGATTTTACGATTTCAATTGAAACGTCTGAGAAAAAAACGGTTCAGTGACTTGTACATTGAGGCGTGTAACTGCCACATCAGCTGCAGTGCCTCTGATCACTGCAAGGCTCACTATCTGTAACATTTCATCTAAATAAGGCTGAACATACACATGGCTTTGCTTGTGCTGCACTTTGGCCTGTCACATCACACCAAAATGTGTGCTTGTCAAGGTGGATTCTGTGCAGATGCGTCTGTAGCTGTTTACTCTCCGAAACCACACAGCGTGTCACTCATATGAGGGTATTTATAGCTTGTCTGTAGATGTAACAAAGAAATCTGGACAGACTGCCTTAAGCAGAATGTTGGATCTGCGTATTAGGATGTGCTTTCAACAAATGTGTCATAATATAGTCTACAGTATAAGAAGTAAATTTGTCAGCATTTATTTATTAATTATTTGATAGGGACAGAGGAAGAAGCATTGTTACAAATAACCGATACCATCTTCATAGGCCTGGTCATGAAAATACATCTAATTTACAGATTGTTATAAAAAGACAGATTACATAGTACAAAATATTTAGATTATTAGATTCTTGCATTGTACAAATGAAACTATTCCCGTCAGGAGACATCTTTCTCTTATCTCTGAGCTCAAGTACATTGTGAATGCCTTCATATTTTGTTTATGTGTCTCTTTCTGGGATTTGTTTTCAAAATATAGCCATGTAGCTAGATGAGGATGCAGATGTCCTTAGTTATTGGAAAGGCTGCTAAGTCGACAAAATACCACAACAACAAAAATCAGGAAACAGAAGAGAAGGACTCAGGAAAAGAGTCCCAATCCAAACAGTCTGTTGGAGTCGAAAGTGTAGAGTGACACAAGAGTGGAAAAACACAGAAAAGTCAGGGTTGTCTCCGATTTCTGTTCTTTCTTATGTAAATCGTCCCATTAGTTAACTACTAGTCAGTTTGGCCTTTCAAAATATGCTTTCACTTATAATAATGTCTAATTTTCTGTTGTTCCATTATTGTTGCATTAAAAAACAAGGACTTTGTAACATACACCACACTTACATCTGACTTTTTTCTATTTTGAAAGGATTTGTTGATATATTCTTCAGTGTACACTCCCTCCTCCATTGCACGCATGCAGAGAAATGCTCACTTCATTAGGATTCTTGTACAGCGTCTCGTTTGTCTTGGTGCCACCATCTGTGCCTGGACGACAGAGCTAAATGAGCCAGAGGGGAAAGGCACAGAGAGGGAAGGTGTCTTTGGGCTGGAAGACAGCCGCTCTCCTAACTCAGTTTTGTACAGAATAGTCTCATGTCGAGGGGTGGGTAATAAAAACATATGTTGATGTCCGTAAAATTACATAATTCATATTTAGCAACATTTTGGAATAACAAGATATAAATGTTGCTTATCTTTAAAACTACATGATCGCATAAAGAAGGGAGGGGGGTAAACAGCTGTTGTTGCTGTATGACAAGTCTTTGTGTGGGTGTGTGTGTGTGTGCGTGTGTGTGCATGTGCGTGTGCGTGTGTGTGTGTGTGTGTGTGTGTGTGTGTGTAATATTATTCATTATTTTGACCATTTAAAATTACAGAACCTATTGACTTTGTAGAAGTAGAATTTATATGGCAGCAGGTGAAACAAGGACAGAGAAATGCTATCTTCCTCCAACTCCCAATACCGCCAGACGAAGGGTTACATTTGTTTTGGGATTTCTTTCTCAAATTACCGGCTGCAAACACAGCAATATAATTTAAAAGAACAATATTTCACCTGAACTGCGCTATGATATGATATGATATGATATTGTAGTTGTCCAGTTATGTGCCATGTTACCTGTGTGCAGGTATCCGCCTCTCCCCTGCCACCAGGGTGACATCGCAGAGCTCCCGCGAGCGCAAGTACCCCTCCATCTTGCGGAAGGTGATGTCTGCATGGGACAGCGCAGTGAACATGGACTCCTCTGGACATGCACATGGCTCCATGGACACACAGGAGGACAGTGTGACACTGCTGTTGGATGTCCTGCACAAGCCACAAGAACATGGAGACAATAAGAGACAGGCATTTGAGTTCATGAGCAGAAATTGAAGGGCTTAAGTCTCCAACAAAGACATGTGTGAGGAGAGAAAGGCCAGCTGCTGCAGTCCTTTTGTCTGTGTTGTACTCACACATAATTCTTCTGCCTTCTTTTTTCATTCAGTTCACTGTACTTCACTGCGAGCGGATAAAGACTCTCAACAGTCCAATTACCGGAACTAAAGAGACTACTAAATTAAGCTCACTTTAAAGAAAGCAATAGGGCCTACAACGGTATACAACACATTTCCCTAACGTTTAACAGATACAATACCAAAACATAATAATGGTAATAGTGTAAAATAACAAATTCCAATTTAATATGAAATAAAAACTTGTATTATTGAGGGTGCAATAGAATGTATCCATAGGTACGGAATAATTACCACTAAAACTACCACTAACCCTGACCCAATTCAGAACAAAACCTTTGATGGGAAGGTATTTAAAAGGTTGCCTCAAACAGGAAGCTGAAACCCATGAATAGGGCAACAGGGTGGTGCAAGAAGACCTGTACTTTGCATGCTCTCCCCGTATCTCCATGTTTCCTCTTGTCTCCCCAAACATGAAAAAAACAAAAACAGCCTATAATGGGCCCATCCCCTATAAGGCAATGATCTCCTTAAAAAGATTCTTGCCAATTCAATTGTTTTTCAATATCTCAGTATCCAATTATTCTCATTTGGTAATACTGAACCTGTTTCATTGTGGGTTGTGTCGGGCGAGGAGACCAAGCCGATCTCCTCCATCGCTTTCTGTATCTGGTCTTTATCATTGTTCACATCTCCTTGGCAAGTGTCTCATCACATTTGACCAAGTGTGTGCAAACATGGACATGTTGCCAGAGAAAGAGACTTTGAAGTGCAGGAGAGGCCATCTTTTCAGAGCTCCTAATTGAGCCTGGCAGCCGTTGAAACATGGACCAAAGAACAGCAGTGACAGAGGGAGAGTGTCTGTGGTGATGCAGACAACATACCAAGAGTTTTTTGGCCAACATGCAACATACAGAGATTCATTTGTCAGTCAGTCAGTGGGGATAGTTTCATCCTGTTGGGGTTCGATAAACAAATAATGCACTTGCAGAAAGCTGTGCAGATGTTTGTACAAAGCAAATCATATTTGATTTTAACTTACAGTGGCTGAGTGGGGGCATTTCAGTATATGTTTGAGGTTTGCATTATCCTTGAGTCAGGGTAAGTTTACATAATCTCCTAAATAAAAAAATCACACAACCAAAGATAAGCTACTGGTAATTCTTGCACTTTGTCAGCTGCAGCTCCTGACAGGGGTCCAAGCAGCACCAAAGGATGGGTCAAAACAAGCAGATGAGAAACTGCTTGGAATTCATGTTCAATGAGTTCACGATTAAACCATCTAAAATTTTCCAAATAAATTAGTGTCAGAGACAAATGCTGTGTTGAGACTGCATATTGTGTGACCAGCAGTGCTGTCATGAGAGGAAGCAAAGGGTTGTGCTTAGATCCCTGTTCTTCCACTCAGGGATTCAGTGCACATCTCTTTCCATGATTCCATTGGAGACTCAACCACCGTGTGCTCTCCAATTGTACACAGCAACAGAGGAGGGACACAATATCATATGACCGTACACTTTCCAATGTTTCCAATGCTGCAGATGCAGGAATGATAATAAAGGCCATGGCAGATCATGCCACAGCCAGTCTTTGATTGAGAGGTCAGTCAAGACATCACAAAGATTAGTAACGTGAGAAAAAGATTGTGCTGAAATAGCACTCAATAAAATATTAATTATTTAATTACAATTAACATCTGTATGTCCCCAAACACAAGGCAATGCTGTTGACCGATAAAGACTTGAATGTCAAAATGCGTGGGCGTTATTTATTACATACTCACTGCATGTGTGCCTCCACCTTTTTTCCTCATAGTTGGACTTAATCTGGACTCCATGGAGTTTGAAAAGTCAAATTCAAACTTACATAAATATTTGCCTTTAAAATATCGGGAAAAAAAAGTAGTTTATTCCAAACTTCCCTGAGCAGTTTGTACCTGCAGGAGCTGGAGTCCGTTTCTGCGGGATTGTTGTTGTTGTCTTCGGTGGGTGCAACTGTGCCCGGTTCCTCTGCCTCGTCCAGTCCGGGCTGGGCGGGGGACTCCGGGGGGACATATATGGATGCCTCCATGCACGAGAGCGGACGAGGGCGTCGGTGTGGCGGAGAGTCCCAGGACAGAGCCGCGGTGGAGCTCCTACACTCGGGCTGGCTCAGGGAGCGGGGACAGGCGCGACTCCCCGAAGCGTGTCCAAACTTTGTGAGACTGCTCCCGTGGCACAGAGCAGAGGCGCTGCCGCTGCTGACCAGAGCACTGGAGCTCGGACTGGAGCTGCTGCCACTGCCAGAGCTGCCACAGCCGCTCATAGACGCTCTGTCTGCGGGGCCACCGCTCCTTCTGCGCCCGCTGAAGTGATCAAGAGGCGGGGAGTGGGTGGGAGACAGGGCGCTGTGGCCGAACCACCTCCATCGGATCCGGAGGATCTGCTTCACGTCGAACTCCTTCCGAGAGGACGAGCTCATGCCGCTGCTCGACATTCCAGAGCGGGAGAAAAGGCGGGAGAGCACGGGGAGCTCGGTGAACGCCGCTGGAGCCGCTGTCTCCGGTGCCGAGACTGAGGAGAGCGGAGACAGCGGAGTACAGAAGCGGGGGGAGGAGGGGTAGGACCACACAGGCGCGCGCACGCACACAATCGCACGCACGGGATTTATGGCATATGCAAGAAACTATTATAGTGGTTCATTGCGTTGTCTTCACTTAGCTAATCACACTGCTGCAGGATAGAGTTTTGTGGTGACCCCGGGTTTTCTGTGACTTCTGTGAACAGAAATCCTTTTCATTCACCTGAATGTTTTGACCTCCACTTACATCCATTTTCTCATCTGCAGTGTAGCAGATTACTTGAGGTAATTGAGGGAGAAGATTCCATCCTGATGCACCATGCACCAGCAGGTCTGCTGACCAGTCAACAGAACCGGGCTCACCTTGGTACAACCTCCACATGCGCTGAATTTTATTTATCTTGGACTCCTGCCAATATTAGGGATGAGATGTTTAAGGAGCCCCACATTTCAAGAATAATCAATAACTCAAGGAGGTTGGGTCAGTGTGTGTAGATTGGCACAAGCAGTACTGTAGTACTGAAACTAATTATTCCAATAAATAAGCTTTAGGGACAAGATAATACAGTCTATTTTAATATTACAGAGTATATTTGCCAGCAGAATATCTCAGCTCCATTTCACTATGCCTTGAAGATAATGAACAGGACCTTTCCACTGTTAGATGCTGGATCAATGCTGGGTCAATAGATACACAAAGACATGCTCACTGCATTCAAAAAGCAGAAGCTGGATCAAAAACTGAACCCGCCCCTGGTTATAGGTTTAAAGGACAAAAGAGTTGATAATATGTCAGCTTAAACTAAAATAAAATACTTCCAAAACTCATCCTTCTGCTTTTCCCATCAGTCACATGATGAATTATTACAAGTATTCCAGTTCCATACACCGTTGTCATGCCACCACCAGCGCCATGCTTTCCTTTTCCATACTCTTCTCTTTCCATCCCTCTGGTGCATCTGTCCCATCAGTCCCAGTTGTTCTAGAACTTTAAAGCTGGATGTCCACTGACTTTGACTGACACAACAATTAAAGCAGCAATTAAAAGCCACACATAGACAGAAACCATCAGAAGGTAACAACAGTAATATAGGAAAGATAAGAACATCTCGCAGTACAGGACATTACAAACTTGAAATACACAAACATAAATGTGCACACATGACTAGTTCACAATCACTGCTGCTTTGATGGGCGGCACAGTGGTGCAGTGGTTAACACTTGGGTTTCAGAGCAAGAACACTCAACATGAACAATAAGTATGAACGTAATGAGGTAGTGATTGTTGATGAGTCTTCGATGCACCAGAGTGATTGGCATCGCGCCTCTGTCATCAGTGTGTGGAGGGAATGTAAAATTATTGGTACTGCAAAAACACTTTAAAGTGCCTGTGTCCTGTGTGACCTTGATTTGTGAAATGGACTGTATAAATATAGATTACTTACTTACTTGATGTTCAAGAACCACAGTTTAACAGGTGAAGGCTCTCACTTCCCAGCCCTTGCCTGGTATTTCTGTTAAAACCAGAGCAAACTTTCAATAAACAAGTACAATGACTGTAATATGTTCAAGTAACACGGTTATTAGTTATGTAATTATTTGAATGGAATTGTCCGCGTTAAAGAAGATTTGATTTCATAAGTGAATGATAATAATAGAATACGGTAAAACAATGCCTTCTAGAAACAATAATTAAATTAACTAATATCAGTTAACCCAGAATAACAACAAAACCCTCAAAAAAGGTTGGTAAATCCAAACTCTGGCAGGCACATGTGAAAGCTGGTGGTAGCTGAAAACTATCCTCTGGAGGGGAATGAAGCTGAGATGAGGGGCAATTCAAAGCTACACTCCTTCACTCCGGTCTAATCATTGGCCACTTGGCAGCAGCCACCTTGAGCCGGCTGCTTTCATTATTGCTCTCTCAGCTGCAGTTGCCTGAGACTATCACTCAAAACTCTATGGTTGAGATTTATGACTGCAGCACATTGGCATATATGCACCTTGAAATGACACCATGAAATTGCATTTACAGTGGTTCTACACAAACATGTACAAGTCTACCTTTACTGTTTATCACACAAAATTACAACTTATGCCCACTTTATATTCTGCAAAGGTGCACACACACTTACAGATAGTCAATGCCAAAATGAAAAAAAAAAAACAGGCACGTCTCCAGAGAGCAGTCGTAAACATTTTATGGGGCTAGAAAGTGAAACATTATCTGTCTGCTCTGGTGATGATGATCAGGTGTTCCTGGCGGAGGATTGATGAGTCTCTAAAGGTGACATTTTCAGTCATAATATGGTCAATACTGTCCAATATCTGCTTCGCAAAAACAGTATGCATAGAAATAGTCCTTTATTAGATAGAAGGACTCATTTTTGGCAATCTTACTGTTTATGGTTATCCTTGTGGTGCAGCTGGCATTTGCAGTCTGGCAATTTTTTTGAGTCAGCAAATCATTCAAATTAACCCAAATTGTTTGTTATTACAAAAATAAGAACTGCTTTTAGTCAGCCCTGATATACACATTTACTGTATGTTGTGGCTATATCCCTTTTGTGATGAGTGCTTATTCTACTATTTCTTCGAGTGAATAATTATAATCTAATTTAATCATGGTTTGACGCAGGACAATAAAACCATGTTGAAGATCTTTCAAACTCACTGATAATTCATAACTAATATGAGCTTAACAGGAGCTGACTGGTCTCCGTGTGTTTAGAACTACAGTACATTTCTAATCTATAACATTGTATTTTAAATATATTTCCCCTTTCTTCAGTTCTCCCCATCTGCATTGTTTCCTGTAACAAAAGGATTGTACAATGGAGAAAGCGACTCCCTGAGGAGCAGCATCCACAGGGACAAAGTCACAGGAGCCATTGTTGCTGATGCACAAGTGTAAATCACAGACTACAGTACACTCTGCATTCATAAAGGCACAGTCACAGCGCTTCACGATACACAAATCACACACATACGGCTAACGTCCTTGAGGGTCCAGAGGCTTAAGACTGGCCAAGCAAATAATTACCTCTCCACTTTGACACGGATCTACCCAGTGCATTATAAGACAAGAGCTCTAAATCTTGTGCCAACAGAGATGCCTTTTGGAGGGATAATATAAAAAATGCAAGACAAAAAATAGAGTTACAGTCAGAAAAGTGAAGAGACTGGTTTCTGAACATTAGTGGATTTAGTAGAAGAAGAAGTAGAAGGTCCTTTATTTGTCCCACAATGGGGAAATTTCAGTTTGATGCATACACAATTATACATCAAGGCAAGCAGCAAACATCACTTCCGCGCTCCTTATAGGCAAAGTGTCTTGCATCAGTGGTGGAGAGCATCTTGTGGTGGGCTCGAACCCATGACCTTCAGGCTCAAAGGCCAATGCTCTACCAACTGAGCTGCTGTCGCCGTTTGTCAAATTATTTACTGTATATAGATAAACTAATTACTTAGAGCAGAGATGATACTATGGATGGTTCAAACACAAAATACCAGTAAAGTTACACTAACTTTTCTGGCATGCACTTTATGATCCGTATTCAGCACTGTTTATAAATGTAAAAGGATTCTATCTGACCATTGTTTTTTCACTGAATGCCAACTTGTTATCAATTTATGAAAATGTTCATACAGTATGTTTTAAATTATTGTTCATTGTTGCTTTTTGACTTAAATACTACAATTTGTTTTGTCGCATCCATTGTCATCCACAACACACCGATTGTATTTTTTATTTGTAAGATTACTACAGATTAATTCTACAGTCAACTACAATTATGAATATGCAAATAAATGTGTAAACACTTCAAAAGTAGGTCATAAAGCATGCAGCAAATGGTGTCTCATTTAAATAGTAAGTCATCTTTATTGACCTTTTCACAGAAAGGTCACACAAAGGGCTTCATATGTATAAATAGAAAGCTGTCAACTTTCAAGTGTAACTTTCCCTCTATGCTCTGTTACATCTCTCAAGAGAACACCACCAAAGCAAAAGCAAAGGCACAAGAGCGCTGATGTTCTTGTGGTTCCCCCAGGGTTTCGTCCTTGGGCCTCTCTTATTCAACATTTGCCCTCTCGGCCAAATCAGATATTGTTTTCTATAGTAACAATGACACGCACTTCGACATCAGAACAGACACCTCACCCACTGCTCTAACACCACCATTTCTTGTTCTCTGCCTGGAGAAGGTGTGGAAAACTGAACATTCTTCAGGCCAACAGCTCTTATCAGTCACCTGCTTCCGCTTTATCCATGTTTTGTCACAGACAGTCGCAGCCTCCACCAGCTCCAAATATCCCCCTGCACCATGTTGTCCCTGAACACCTCTTTCAGGAAACCATAAATAACTAAATGGCTCTTCTCCCTGCCTCCTCTCCTCACTGCAGCTGGTGATCCAACCAGCAGGACTTGAGGGTTAATAAAGTAAGTCGGTGAGTCATCTTTATTTATATAGCGCCTTTCACAGACCAGAGTCACAAAGCGCTTCACAATTTGTAGTTTTTTGGATATTTTTTGTCTCTCGCTCCACACAGAGAGATGGGAGCGGGGTCACTATAGAATTGGCACATGCTAAACCTAATGTACATGTTTTTAGTGGTAGGGGAAACCGGAGCACCTGGAAGAAACCTACACAGACTCGGGGAGAACATGCAAACTTCACACAGAATGGCCTGGAGATGGAATTTAACCCAGAACCTTCTTGCTGTGAAGCACAAGCACACTGTGCCGCCCGGTTAGAGATTAGAGTCTAAATGAGAAATGTTGCTTTTATTGATAGAACCCTTTTCACAGCAATATCACAAATTACTAGAAATGGTACAATGGCTGAAGCCATTGTGAGTGGCTGCATAGATGTTGGAAGGGTTAGGGATGAAGAAGGAAGAGGAAGGGGAAGAAGAAGGAAGAAGAAAGAAAAGGGAAGAAGAGGAAAGAAGAAGAAGGAAGAGGAGGAGGAAGAAGAAGAAGGGGAAGAAGGGGAAGAAGAAGAAGGGGAAGAAGGGGAAGAAGAGGAAGAAGGGGAAGATGAGGAATAAGAGGAAGAAGGGGAAGAAGAGGAAGAAGGGGAAGAAGAGGAAGAAGAGGAAGAAGGGGAAGAAGAGGAAGAAGTGAAGAAGATGAAGTAAGAAGAATGTGTTGTAAGGGGCTGAAAGTGTTGTAAAGTGCTGAATGTGTTGTAAGGTGTTGTAAAGTGCTAAATGTGTTGTAAAGTGCTGAATGTGTTGTAAAGTGCTGAATTTGTTGTAAAGTGCTGAATGTGTTGTAAAGTGCTAAATAAGTTGTAAAGTGCTGAATGTGTATTCAAGTGCTAAATGTGTTGTAAAGTGCTAAATGTGTTGTAAGGTGTTGAATTTGTTGTAAAGTGC